GTAAAATATCTGGGAGTTTGTCTAGACCAGCACATGACGTGGCAGGATCATGTGAAATACACTTCAAATAAAATTGCCTCTAGGTTGGCCCTACTTCGTAGAGTCACGAAATATCTCACAATCAATAGTGCCAAACTACTTGCCAATTCCCTTATCCTTCCTTACTATGACTATTGTAGTGTTTCATGGAGTACTTGTAATAAAAGAACAAAAGATATCTTGATTAAGCAACACAAGCAGATGGCAAGAATTGTCCTGAAAATAAATACTTTGATTCCCACATCTGAAATGTTTAGTACCCTGAGATGGATTGACATGGAAAAAAGATGGGAGTTCAATAAAAGTAAATTAATGTATGATGTTATGAATAATAGTGCCCCATCATATTTATATGATATGTTCACCCTGTCCGCCCATACTCATAGATACTCAACAAGGAATGCTGACAATTTGGGCGTCATTGTTCCAAGAATTAAAACAGAATGTGGAAAACGTGCCTTCTCAGTTGATGGTGCTCTTCAGTGGAATAGCCTACCCCACTCAGTTCGAAATGCCCCGACCAAGAATAATTTTTGTTCTCTCTATTTTAAGCAGCGATCTTAAAGATAAATTTGCCTATCTTTCTTTATTTATTTCTTTCATGAATATTTACATAAATTTCTCAATATAATAATTTGTTAAAATCTAAATAGATCATTGATAATAATCAGAGTATATTGTTATCGATTTGAAATTGTTCATTGAAATTTATCATTCTTACTACGGCTTTGTTTCATTATTCACTCTTACTCTTTACTCACTTTCTGTTAAATGTTGCTATGTATTAATGTTTTCCATGATGTTTATATTGTTCAAGTAGTTTGTTTCTTCATATATGTTCATTTATGTACAGGGCCCCCTGGAAAACAGTACTTTGATTACTGACGGGGCTACCCTGTTAAAATAAAACGGAATAAATAAATAAATAAATATACCCCGACTCCTCTACTGCATGGATACGCCATTATTAAGTTAACTTTAAACAGCGTGACCTGTTCGCTCGATAGTCTCACTCTTATAGCGATCAGCCAAAGGTCTGACTGTATCAACTAAGTTCACATCTTGTGAAGACGAGGTGAAAAATATGGTCACTATAGTCTTATATTCTCAAAATCTTTATAGTGTCAATAATGATGATGATGATGATAACGATGATGCTGGTGATGATAATGATCACAATAATGATGATGATAATGAATAATAATGTTGATGATAGCAATCTTACCATATTAACTATATATATTTCAATATTGACAAATCAATTGTAACTATATTTATGTTTGAAAAATGCAATAAGTCTTTTAATTGTACACATGACCAATTCAGCCATTAGGCTGCGACACACGTCTTTAATAAAACTTGAATTGAATTGAATTGAATTGAATATAAATAATAATAATAACAACAACAATAATAATAATACTAATAATAACAATAATAATAACAATGATAACAATAATAATAACAATAACAATAATAATAACAATAATAATAATAAATACGGGAAAAATCTTTCATTCTTCTGCTGATAAAAAGTCTGCTTGTGTAGAAAGAAAAGAATTTAGTCACTAGTGTGTCCACATCTAATGAAGATGGTGAAAATATTTCTTTAAAAAAAGGTATAAGAGGCTCATAAGCAACTAATCTCATCCTCCTCCTGCTACTGTATACGGGCGCTGCTACTATATTACGACGACTACTATTACTACTGCTACTACTACTACTGCTGCTACTACTACTACTACTACTATTACTTCTACTACTACTAGTACTACTACTACTACTACTACTACTACTATACTACTACTACTACTACTACTACTACTACTACTACTACTATTACTACTACTACTACTACTATACTACTACTACTACTACTTTTTACTACTACTACTACTATTACTATACTACTACTTCTACTACTATGCCACCACTACTACTGTAAACAGTTATTGATAATTTTTAATCTACTTCTCCTTCTCCTCCTCCTCACCATACTACTACTTCTACCACTGGTACTATTTCTACAAAATGATAATACCCACAAATGATATTTACCCCCTACTTCTTCTGTTGGCTCTGTTATAAAAAACCCCATTGCTTTAGTAAGTTTTTTCAAGTAATTTCTCATTGTGTGTTGAGAAGTTATGAGGCCGAAGTGACTATTTTTGTATGTTTTGAATATGAAATGACATTAATTGCAAATGTTTCTAATGCATACTAATAAAAAACGACATCTCTTCTTAATCTCTCTGTCTCTAGAATCCTTTATTGTATACAGGTTTTTTTTTCTTAAGCAGTTATCAATATAATTTTTCCTATACATATTATTACAATTTATTTTGAAACTTCAAAATTAATTTAAAGAGTAATCTAATCATTATTGTTGCTTGTTGTAATCTATTGCTCATTGCATCATCAGAATTAACGTCAACATTATCATCATCATCTTCGTCATCATCATAATCACCACCATCAGGATCATCATCATTTCCATCACTTTATCGCTCCAATGTAGGGTAGCGATGATCTTTAACAAAATAACTAAGTTCTAGACACTCATCACCTCAAATGGAAGCATAGTAATCGGGATAGTAATAGAGGCGAAACATAATTTAGATCGATTTGAAAGAGAAATGTGTACTTACCGCTTGCTCTTCTCTCCTTCGGCTTTCCCTTTAAAACTGCAGCCTTTTTTGCGTCGAAATCCTTTCGAAGTGCGGATATTTTTGACAATCGGCAGTCCGGTCTCTTTACTTTTACAAATTCACCTTGAGTATCCGGCATTACTTTATTGGCCATTGCTGTAGACATCTTTCGTTCCCCTTCGCGTCACGTCCTCATTAAATCTTCCAGAGAAAATTTGTCTCCGAAATTAGAGTGTTCTCCCTTAAGTGGGATTTGATGAAAACTTTTTCGTTACATGTTACTTGGCACAATCCTTGAGTCAATATTACGTGTTCCACTTTAAATTGCTTTGTTGTGAAAGCTTTAATGCATTTTCTAAATCGAATTATTCGTTTCTCTTTTCTCCGTGAATTCTTTTGTATGTTAACCCTTCCTTGCGCTTGCCCATGTGTTGTATGCTAAAAGCTCCATGAATATCAACAGAGGCGCGGCGCGCGCGTGTAACATGCCATTGCGTGAGCATTGTCTACGTCATAATACATACGCAGTAAATGAGACGCTTTGCTATTACCGTTCCTTGTTCTTAAATCATTTTGCTGATATTTGTGTTGAGCCGTAACTTATCCCTAGTGGACTATCAAATATTGTTTTGAACCCAGAGGCAACGGATATAGCTCATAAAAGATATGTATCGAGAAAGGGAAAAGATTTAAAATGCGGTCAAGATTGTATATTCATTGAATTTCATGAAGGACATCAGTGCGAGAGAGATCCTTTCCTGTTCATCAATATATCAGAGATAAAAGCCCCACGCGCATTGCACTTCATTTATGACAAAATCACATTATAGCTGAATAGGAATACCGAGCGAGAGCGTTAATGTTTACTGACACGATATCTCTTCTTCGTCAGGGCAGATGTAGGGTTATGGTTTGTCGGAAAGGGGACCTTTCCAGGCTCTCTCATGGGAGGGGGGGGGGGGCGGTAGCATCCCAAAAAGAAAACAAAATTGTGCTTATGGGGTTTTCTTCCCCTCATGTTATATCTAATCCTAAAGAGAGATCGTCTTCTTCTTCTCCTTTTTAGTTTTCTTCCTCTTTCTTCTTCCTGTTCTTTTTCTTTCGTTCTTTTTTCACTTCTTCTTTCTTCTTCTTCATTTCCTTTCTTTCATTTTAATTTTTTAATTTCTTTTACTTCTTTCTTCTTCTTCTTTTTCTTTCTTCTTCATCTTTTCTTTCTTCTTCATCTTTTTCTTTCTTCTTCATCTTTTTCTTTTCCTCTTCTTGTTTTTAGCCATCTCACTTCTTGAATGCTTCTTCTTCTCTTTCTTCTTCTTTATTCTATCTCTTTTCTTCTCCTCCACCAAATTAAAAACGATGGATGTGTTAGCCTAGCTCGTCACACCAGGCGGTCCTCATCCTCTCCCTATCCCCTTCTCTCTATCTTCTTCTCCTTTCTTATTCTTTTTTCATCTTCTTTCTTTTCTTTCCTCTTCTTGTTGTATTCCATCTTAATTCTTGAATGCTTTTTCTTCTCTTCCTTACTCTTTCTTCTATCTCTCTTCTTCTCCTCCACCAAACTAAACCGTTGGATGTTTAAGCCTAGCTCATCACACTGGGGTGGTCCTCATCCTCTCCCTATCCCCTTCTCTCTCTTCTTTTCCTTCTTCTCCATCTTTTTCCTTTATATTTAGTTCTTTTCCTTCTTTCTTCTTCCCCTTTTTTTTCTTTTTTCTTCTTCTTTTTCATCTTCTTTCTTTTCATTTTGCCTTTTACTCTTCTTGTTTTTTCCATGTTACTTCTTGAAAGCTTCTTCTTCTTTCTTCCATTTATCTTCTTATCCTCCTCCAAACTAAACCGATGGATGTATAAGACTAGCTCGTCACACCGGAACGGTCCTCATTCTCTCTTTCTTTTCTTTCTTCTACTTTACCTGTTCTATCATTCTCCTTTTTCTTTTCTTCTTCTCCTTTTTTCTTTTCCTCCTTCTTATTCCACTTCTTCTCTCTCCTTTCTTTCCTATTTATTATCCTTCCTTATTCTTTGTTTTACTTTCTTTCATTCTACAGTGTGCTTTCTTCTGTTCTCTTCTCAATTCTTAATTTTTTTTTATTTGTTCTCGTTCTCTTCCTCCTACTTTCTTTCTTCTCATTTTCATCCTAATTTCTTCTTCTACCTTCTGTCTTTTTGTCTATCTTCTTCTCTCTTATTTCTTTGATCTTCTCCTTTCTTCCTTCCTTTTATTATGCAAAAGCAAATAGCTATCGCCAGTTTTCCTGTAATTTACAAGTTCTATATATTTTATATAATTTAACAATCACAGACAGAAAACAATTTTGTTGAAAAGATATAATTTATTTCTTAGTCTTCTTTTTCCAACAAATAATTGTAGGCTTTAGAATAACAATAGTTTGTGCCTTAAAATTCTGTACACATGTAACACATCTCATATTGACATTTGACTTATATCTTTGATAAATTCACCAATTAGGACCGAAATATCATTGAATGTCATACGAATACAAAAATGCATAAATACATACCATTAATACAAATGATAGATATCAATATATATATGGACAATCTGTGTAGATGCGAGTAGCACAATCATTACCTTATGAAATGCAAAATGAACGTTACACAAACCCCAACACAATAGAGCCATTAAATGGTTACAATTATCCCACAGCAAGGTTAACAAGATAAAAATGGAATTAAAGAAATTTACTCAAGTGCAGTTTAGTACCCTAGAAAAGAAATCACATTTTATTATGTAGTATGTCACTTGAATATTACTTCGATTTCCCATTTCAAAAGGTAATGCGCAAAGGAAATTGGAATTTACTGTGGGTGAGTTTTTAAAGTCTTTCCGATAATACTGATTGAAAGAATTTATCACAAGCATACTAAAATAATCATAATCTTGTATGGTAATAACAAAATTATGACTAGTCATCAATTAGTATTATTGATTTAGCTATGAAAGTAATTACCTCCTGCTTCTATCAATGATGATACAGTAGTATTGTGCGATTTCAAATACAGTGGAACCTGTATATAAAGACTGCTCAAAAGACACAAGAAAAGTAGTCTTAAGAGGCAGATGGTCTTGATGTACAGGTTCCTTCAGTACATGTTTCAATGACAAACCAATTTTCAAGGTAAACAAAAAATGTGGTCTTTCTATACAGGTTGTCACTAAAGCAGGTTTTACTGCATTAAAGACCCAATAGTCTGCAATTTTACTATCTTAAGTTTCATGCATTTTTTAAAATACAGGTAATATTAACAAAAAGAAAACAAAAGTTATTCAGATAGCTACGATGTCCCATGAGGGTGGATTGTACTTGTACAGGTAATATCACAACAGTAGTACAAATGTTCAATGTTGCTCTCAGAAACAATCTTTGCATTTCACAATCAAACAGTATTGCACAAAAACATTAGCAAATTCTGCAATGCTAAATGACTAATTTAATGGACTTTATAAGTTCTAGAAATTTTTATTATCTACTTCAAGCCATTCATCATCATCAAACTATGCAGTTTCTAAAATGGGATATTTCAACATATGGTGTTCCCAGGACATTTGAGGAAATAAAATGTTATCATTTCCATTTGCTACTCCTTAATTTTTTTCTTCTTCTAGATTACTCTGACAGAATACTGGAGAGCATTCTCAGCTCTGGTTCTCTTGAAGATATTGTCTTTTTTTTAGTGATATGCCTGAGAACATTTGTTTATGAGACGATGCAAGCTACATTTTCATCAAATGAAGAGTTTCACATGGCTTGGGGTCTCGATTGAAGCTGGTTCTGTTGACTTCATGCTCTTTCAAAAGTGTTATCCATGAAGGTTGTTACTTGTGAGACAACTGAAGTTACATCTACGACCCAGGTGATGTAAATGAGTACATGGCAGGAATTCATTCTTTGAAATGCTAGAGCGCAGTAATGGCAGCCATGCTAAAGCCGCGGTAATAATGGTGGAGCGCCAGGCGTGTCAAGTCCGACAAACATGAGCGCTTTTTAAGAACCCACCATTACTGTTACTCAAACAAGAAGTCTCACATGGTATGTGCTCTGGGAAGAAGTTGGTTCTAGATGACATACTCTTTAAACATTGAAATCCATGAAAGCTTTTATTTGTGAGACAGAGGAAGTTGGATCTCGATCTCTATTTTTGTTGGGGAAGGGGGGGGGGTGGGTGCCAACATGGCATGGGCTCTCCAACCAAGTTGCTGTTCTTGAATATGTTTTCTTGAAAAAGCGAGATTTACGGTTTTTAAAATTTTGATTGTAAGACCATGCCATTGGAAGTTCTATCGCCCCTGAAGGGGGATGGGGAAGCTTTAAAGCGTTTCTCTTGATGAAGATGGTCACTACAGAGCGAGATCAACGACAGTCTTCCACTTGTGAGACCACTGTACGCCCATCATCCTAGAAAGAGAGAGAGGAGGGGTTTGCCTCACATAGCATGTGCTCTCTTCCCTAGCTCCTCCTGGATGTCATCCACAACCTTGATGGCTGCTACGGGTATCCTTGTACCTAGAAAACAAACATCCCAGGAATATGGTTAACCCTTCATAGCCCATAAAATATATATGTTGCGAATATGTTTTTATATTAGATAGCTTAGACCGAGACCGAGATGTGATTGATCCAGAGCTTGTCACGTGATATCAATTGCGAGGATCCAAATTGTTATATTTTCCTGGTTGGTTATATTTTAATGGCTGGTGAATTTTTTTTTTCATTAATTTTTTTTTTCCCCTTGAAATTATTTTTTCCACATTTTCTTTTTTTTTTCCCCAAAAATGCTCGGGAAAATATAACCACTTGGGAAATATAACTCCCTTCAGCGGTCCAAATAATGTTATATTACACCCCCTGCCAGTCAATAACTGTATAATACAACCCCTGTATGAAACAAATTTATTCCATCATCAATAACCAAGAATACAAAAGTTAATGAAATTTTCTGTACATAGCTAATTGTAGAGGAGCATGCAAGATATGTCCCTGTGTTGCAAATTTGTGTTTCACTGATGACAACTTAAAAAATTCACAACTTTCCTATTTTTAATTAGATATGGCTCAAAGTTTCACTAATTTGTTTCTCTAATTTGTCTGCTTCTATCAAAAGTATCGTAATATCTTAGGATATTTAGGATTCAGGATTCAGGGCCCGTATTCAATTCCATACTTAAGTAAAAAATTAAGCTTTGTACCTAGTAGTTGGGTTAGATAAAATACTTAGCCAATTTTGGTATTCAGTTCAAACTTTTGGCTAATTATTTTACCCTAGATTTGAGACAGCTCCCTACCAGACTTAAGCCAATTGTTAGGAGGCGTTGATTTGGCAGGCATATGGTTTTCTAACGCAGTATCACAACCTGCGCACAATTATATTAGCGCGCATTAATTTCGCATTATTATTGATTGACCGTGTGATGTCACAATTAAGTAAATTTCTTAGCTTAACAATTTACTTATTCTAAATATTGAATTGAATATTAGCCAAGAAGCTTACCTGGTCCAAAGATGCTCTTAACTCCTTCATTGAAGAGGAAATCATAATCCTGAGGTGGGATGACCCCACCCACAATCACTCCAATGTCACTGTAATACAATCACATTATGAAGCATGTTAGTAATATAGTACAGGGTATTGCAGTTTGATTGGGATAATGGGTAAGTTGATAATTGAAACTTCTAGAACATGAACAAAACTTGCTGATCTGTGCATGCAATATGAGTAGGAATTAATTCCTTGAAATGCTAGAGCACCGTAATGGCAGCCGTGCTAAAGCCATGGAAATAATCAGGAGCGCCAAGAGTGTCCAGTCTGACAGATATGAGCGCTATACAAGAGCCCAATATTATTATTACTATTATTATGACACCATAATTTTAGATGATTTTTAAACCTATAACCGTTTCTAAGGCACAAGCTCTGAGGTCAAATGATATCTGGTCAATAACGACATGAACGAAATACGTAACTTAAACACTGAAGAAAATACTCTAGCTAACCCTAACCATAAAACCCAACTGCAGCCCTTACCCTAAATTTAACCCCATATCTGTCATATCTGATATTAATCTTGGTTCAAATGTCAGGTATTATTTATACTGTGTCATCTGCTTTTGGAACATGAATTAAAGTGGAAAATTTGAAAGATGATTTAGTGATAGTGCAAAATATGAAAAAGAAAGAAAGAAAAGGAAAAATTAAGAAAATATTCCCATGAATGAAGTGTGACATAACAAACACATAGTTACTAACTTAAACCAAACTATTTCAGTATTCTAATAGATGAAAATAGATTTTTCTCGAAAGAGTCAGAATTATATTTCTCTCATCCTTTTCCAAAATTATAAAGCAAAAAAATGAAAGCCATAAACTCACCCTCTACCCATGTTCTTCAATGCCTTGATGAGTTCAGGGACCAGTGTCTTGTGGCCTGCTGCTAATGTACTCACTCCTACGGCATGAACATCAGCATCTATCGCTTGCTGGGCAACCTCACTAGGAGTCTGGAAGACAACATGGATAGCAATTGGTCAGTTTTTCATTATCATAATAACTAGGGATCCCAGTTGGTCTTCGATGCTGTAGAGTTGTTAGGAGAGATGTCGTAGTTGAGTTGTTTAAATGTAATCCCAGACACACCACTAATGTCCTTTGGCAAGGTATTAATCTACATTTGCCACTCCATACCCAGAAGAGAAATGGGGACCATGTAGGATGACGACAGCCTTTGAGTTAGTAATGCACTTGTCATTGTCTTGTCAAGACGCACCTCTTGACCCCCGGGAATGGTGCGTCATTGTACCGATGTGAGTCGTACATTTTGATACCATGACGCACCTTCCGTCACAGAAAGTGACACACCATTACATTCCATCGACGCACATTTGAGTCAAACATATGACATACCATTTCATGAAAATGACTAGCCAATGACGCACATTTGAGAAACACTTCTGCTTGGAGAAAGTGACGGTCCCATTGACACACCAAATGACGCAACGTGGTGAAGTGACTTACTATGACGCACATATGGGTCAGTATTGTGACGGACATTTTGCGGCCATGACGGTACTGTGCGTCGCGATTTGGGGGAACATGACGCAACCATGACGCACCATCCCCGGGGGTCAAAAGGTGCGTCTTACAAATGACACCTGCATAATTGCCATATGCCCTCATGGTGACCAAATGGTATGAATACTCCTAAGATATATATATATAGGAGATGGTACACACTTTTCGTGAATTCATCCGAAGGCCAGGGTAATAATATCTGTAAAAAGCTTAGAGACAGCATTTCATTTTAAGCGCTATATAAATCCTGATTATTATCATCAGATGAGATTGAGACAAGTGGAGCCTGAAGTAGCATCAGAGAGCTGACAGACCAAATAAATACCACTGAATTTGCGTCCGTGTAATATCAATCTATTTTCTGCCACAACAACTGCACATAGAAAATGCTTTACATTGTTTCTTTTTGACACATTTGTTTTCATCTCAAATGTCATTTGGTGCTTCAATGGGCATATTGATAAATTGGATTCATTGCCATTCATATTATATAGTCAAATACAAAATTAACTGACATTTTCAGGACAACCTGGGAGATTATCTTGGTGACTTATTCATTTTCTCCATTTAGAGGTATGTTTTCTCTGGAGAACCATAGGGTTATATCTTTAAATCTGTTAGTTAATACCCTAGAAGGCTATTAACTCTATGTTAAATGAGCTATTTTGACTCTTTGTAGATACCTATCATTTAGAAGCAGAGGAAGACAGTGCATCAAATACATGGATATGTTCATTGGGCTGACTGGTAACAGAAGTAATGTCACATACATCACAAAAAAAATAGATGTCTCGAACTGACAAGGCTACAAGCAAGCAAGAAAGCTAAGCATGCATCGTGTTTGAATTCAAAGAGTACAACAATTTTACTGAAAATTGAATATTTGATCTGCTGAAAACCAGAAGGATGTTATGTATGAAACACAATATGAGTTAGTGTACTGCTGGTTCTCAGAAGACACTTTCTCCCATCATATTTACCTGGAAGAGTGGCCCGATATCGACGTCGAATCCAAGATCGGCAAAGCTTGTGGCGACCACTTTGGCTCCCCTATCGTGTCCATCCTGTCCCATCTTAGCAACCAGGAGTCGAGGCCTTCTTCCTTCCGCCTTCTCAAAGTCCTATCAAAGACATCAAAATGAAACAGAGGGCTATTATTGGGTGACTGACAATTGTATAATAAAGTGCAATACTAAAGGTTACATTCAAAATTTAGCAAAGTGGTAGAGCAGTGGTCTTGTGGAAGGTCTTGGGTTCAAAAGTAAGTTGAGGAGCTAGTGCCCTTTGGTAAGGCATTAATCTGCAAGTATTTAGCAATTTGTAAAGGACTTAAAGCCGTAGGTCCACTGATGTGTTGCACTGACAGTATGTTTAAGGGTAGGATTAGGGATTTTGGAGGTTCAGGGTCAGGGTTATGAATGTGGATAGTTTAGGAAATTGTAGGCATGACAGCTCTTGCCTTGTCAGATCCCATAAAACCTGAAATACATGTAGTAGTAGTAGTAGTAGCTGTCTGTCGCGAAGTGACAATGACCGCCTTCACTTTCATGAAGGCTGCTTGCAAAGATGGGTAAGTACCGGTAGCTCTTGCAAGTTACTAACGGCACTCTGCCGGGGAACTGGTGGCAGTTTCACACCGGGAAGGACAAGCCAGGACGGTGTGAACCACTAGACCAGGCCTTCTCAACTAGTTTATTAGAAGTGCCAAAACGAAAAGAATTTGTAGTTGAAGTGCCACCCTGTATGGTTGACTGTTCTGCGAGGGAGCGTAGCAACTGAGCCGAAAATGGGTGGGGTCCAGGGGTGAAGCCCTAACGGGGGTAGCAGGGGTCGGTGCCCCCTGAAGATGGTGGAATTAGGGCTTTCAAAAGGCCCAAATGGGGCATTTCTAACACTATTTCATTCCACAATATAATCAATCATATTAATTTTATATTGATGTGAAAAAACAGTACAATTCCTGGGTACAATTACACTGGAGGTATATTTATATGTAGTTTTTTGTGTGCAATAAACACGGGAAATGTCAAAACAAAGTGAAAATCAAACAGACAAAAACAAGATGTTTCCAGAGATTGGCAATGTTAAAGTTGGTATCCCATCGTAAGCTTATTTGTTGTTCAGACCTTATAGTTTAGAATCGTATAAAATGGTAAAAAACGATAAATTCCCCTTTCTCACTGTTTGTTAAGCAGGCATTTTGGGCTCAAATTCAACTGCAACTTTTTGATTTAGCTGAGTATTTAATTCTAAAATATATATTTTCTTTCTTTCTGTTTTTTGTTTTGTTGTTGCAACAGTCGCGCGCCACTCCCACTGACCGCAAGCGCCACAAGTGGCGCGCGCGCCGCCAGTTGAGAAGGCCTGCACTAGACCCTGCAGTGACTGGTCGAAGGATGTTGGGAGTTCCATATTGTCAATCAACCTCAATGCTGTCATGGTGGCATGGTTTTCTGTTAGGGTTTGCTCCCTTAGCCTTAGATTCTAAAGAGAACCTGAACCACAAGGCAGTGGTTACAACTATGTATGGCAATTACAATTAACACAAATTCAAATACATGTAATCAACCAATAAACAATCATACCTCAACTCGACTGATGCAGGCTTGGATCTCCTCATCATCTCCGTACTCTGACTTGTAAGCTCCGCTCACCATCCTGTCGCTAGCAACGTGACGGGTAAACACTTTCTCCATCGCCATGGAGATCTCCTCCACCGTACATCTCGCTCTTGCTGCCTGTATATACCATGAAATTAACATAAGAATGAGTAAATTACATCATAATCATCATCATCATCGTCATTATTCTTTCCATTACAAGATACTTAATATGAGACACAAAATGCTTATCTTTTTTTCTGTTTTCTTCTTCTTCTTCAGTTTTATATCTTTCTTAAAGTGGTTCACCATCTCAAGTCCAAATGGATCTTTGATACATATTTCAGATTTCTGAAGGAGCAGATATCATTTAAGCTATTATTTTTGTGACGGTATATTATATATATATATTATATATATAGCAAAGGCTTGTAGGTTTGCTAACTTAACAACACACCCAAATGGGCTGTCAGTGCGTGTGTGCACATGTACCACAGAGAGGCAACAACTCTAGAAATAGACTACTTTAGTAATGTAATCAAATTTAATGCATAAATCTTGGTTAAGTGCCATGTTAGAAATAATTGTACTTCAGTAGTCAAAATGCGAATTGCATATATTAATTGTTTTTAGGTAGGACAAAAATAATGGGTTGTGTTACCTTACAAGACATACGCAATGTATGCAAATCGCATTTCGACTATTGAAATACAATTATTCATAGCAGGTGAATGAAATGATTTGTAACGAGGCACTCAACAAAGATTTTTGCATTGAATTTGAATACATTACGAAAATGGCCTATTGCCACGTATGCCTGTCATCCAGTAGAATATCTATATGCCAAAATGTTGGCTTGTAAAGAAACATGAAGTGATTTACCTGAACAGCGCATTCCAAGAGATTCTTCTCTCCTGAGCTGGCTTCTGAGATGGCATTTAATGCAGCTTCAGCCTGCAAGGAAAAAACAACAAAACAATATATCAGAGGTCATTTCAGGTTTTGTGATTTTAATAACCCGCATTCATATTGTGCAATCTATCTAGTTGTGCTAAAGTAAGGAGCATGAATCAATTACCATCGCTTTAGGATGACAGGTTTGATAAGGCTCTCAAGCATTTCAAGAAATTGCTTTCTACTTGGTACACATTTATCTCCCCAAGATCAAGAATGGCAAAGGTACTGTATATATCATGCCACCAGAGAAATCCTAATCCCTGACTTCAGGCCTCATAATCTCACCACAGCACCTCCTCTGCTAAGGAAGGAAGCATTAGACACTTTTTGTTTTACAAGAGCTTGGTTATTTCCATGTACAAATTGCCAATTTCTTTTTAAATATTAATTTACATTGGTTCATATACATCTTCAAATAACCTTCTGACCTTCTGCAAATCAAAACTGACCGTCATCTCCCTTTAAGACTTGAGTATTCAATAAGTATTAGATGAAACTCACCTCTTGTGAACTTCTCGATTGTTTGATATCCTTGAGTTTGTTGATCTGTTTCTCTCTCACTTCAGTATTATCAATGGAAAGCACCTCCATTGGCTCCTCCACGGCTAGCTTGTACTTGTTCACACCAACTATTACTTCTGAAAGTTTAGGAAATCATGTGTATCATGTTAGCATAGTGGGGTAGTAGCAGCAGGTTGCACAACCCAGTGCCTCTACAGAGATGCTAGTACCCCCTCAATAGCCAAAACCATGCCATGCCACTACATTAGCACAGTGGCTCCAACGCTAATACTGTCTGCTTGTCCACATAAACATTAATTCTAAATATATTTAATAAAGAGAGAATAAGAAAGAATACATGACACTATTTGAGAAGCATAAATTTATTATTAAAGTCTGATTCATAATTTGTCTCAGCTTACAAATTTTGCATTCACATCAAAACAGTTGGTAATTATCATGAAGTAATGAACCAGATTGCTAAAATCAACCATAATCTATACTTTTTTTAGAGTATTTATTTCTTTTCAACATACATTGTATAAACTAAAGTGTTATTGAAAATCATGCACACATGAATGATAGAAGAAAGTGTTTTTCTTCTCACCCTTTCCAGAGTCAATCCTGGCCTGTTTTTTGGCAGCACACTCCTCGATCTTCAGCTTACAGAATCCATCTGAGACAGCCTTGGCCATGCCTCCCATCTCTTCAATCTGAAACACACCAAAGAACACATCACACCAAAATCATGGAGTGGGGCTGTAGCTATTCAGTTAATACATATGGTAATGTGATAATCTGGGTTTGTATAGCACCTCATACATCTACTGTATCTCTTAGTGCTGTCAGGATACATTATTACCCCAGTCATTAGATTTAAGCTTGCCTGCACATTTTCCACTCCCTGGGGAGCATTCCAGCCAGGCAAAATTTTAACAGATGCATAAAATGCTGAACAAGACATGGTGCTTTAATAATAACGATAATACACCATACTTATATAGTACGTATCACAATATATCTCTATGCGCTCTATTTTTTTGCACATGAAGGACACCTTAATGCATAGGCAATTCTTTTGTAAGGAAGAGGTGGCCACTTTGCACTCTATAAATCAATGTATCAACTCTGTACCTAGTCTGTCAGGGTTGAAACCTGGGCCTATATACATCAAATTTCTTAAAAAATTATAAAAAAAAAATATTTGAGTATTTACTGAATTTTCAGGTCCATTAAAACACTTCACCCTGGCCTACAGTTAGTATATGTTAAATAGTCGGCCATGTGTTTACATGGTATCTATGACTGGGAAATTGTTGTTTTCGTGAATGAGCACAAAGTGTAGAAGGGTTACCTCAGCAATGATATTGTTGGCCGCCTCGTAGATTTCATCTGTCAGGTTCTCCATCATGTGAGAGCCTCCCCATGGATCCACAATCTGTCAGGTGATCAGATAGGAAAGTGTCAGGTGACCAAAATAAGAGTAAAACAAAGTGGTATACTGTTGTTGTCAATATCTACAATGTTCAATTTTATGCCATGTTTCCTTGCGAATAAGAGAATTTACAGGCAATGTTTATCTGTAGTTCACATTGCTGCCATGATCCAGTGCTGCATGACGATAAGACGTATGTCACTATGATGCAGCATGGTAATGTGGAGTACAAAATAAAAAGTACCTGTAGATAAAGAATGTTAAAATCGAGTATCAAATGTCTTGTGTCTTTTTGATTGGTTTGAATACTCGTTTTCTGGATCCACCCAAACGGATATAAACCAGCCTAGTGATGAACTACACGAACTACATTCCAATGATATGAGTTGTTGTTTGACAAAGTTATGGATTTCTTGACCTAACAACAGATGATGTTCAGATTCTGACTATGCACACACAATAACTTATACAAGGTGAATGTAACAGTTTGTAAGTGTGCATTCAATTTGAATGCATTAGAAGGAAAACAAAAATCAAAAACAGTAAGAAAAGTAATGAATCCAAATACAGGAAAACAATCCTCTCTAAACAAAATCTCCTATCCTTCCTTGACCACAACCTTGATATTAAACATATATTTTGTATTTTTTAATATTTTTGTAACAACAGAATGTTATATTTTAAGCCATTTTCTATCTCAACCTAATTATCATCAGCTATGTTATCTTAGGGAATTTGCACTCCAAACATTTTTTGTTTATGCATTGTTCCTACTATGTATTATATCTCGATGTAATACCCTGAATTTTATTATCTGTAAACAATTATTTTAGATGGTGAATAAATAAAACAAACAAACAAAAATACCTTTGGGATGCCACTCTCCTCCTGGAGAATGATCTGTGTGTTCCTGGCGATACGAGCGCTGGTCACGGTGGGCAGTCCTAGGGCCTCATCGTAAGAGTTTGTGTGAAGTGACTGGGTTCCTCCAAACACAGCCGCCATCGCCTCTATCGTGGTCCTGATTACGTTGTTGTATGGATCCTAGGAAACGGGGAAAAAAGAGGAGATGGAAAGGAATATGGTTTTACAATACAGCACTGAAATTTTATTTGTCAAAATTTCTAAAGACTGTTGCACTTTATCTTACACTTGCAATATTCTACCACTGTAGCACTGAATTAAAACTTTGTTAACACAAATCCATTCTGTGAGACACCAACTAAATATCTGTGATTGAAACTTCAGAATCATAGGATTGTGTTTCAATGTAACACTCTCTAAACACAATTTAACACTTTGTAAACGCTAATCAATGTATTTTACACCTGAGATACATTAACACTAACATCAACAAACATTATCTTACATTGACTATATGTTTCAAATTAAGCACTTTAATACTAATTAACACTTTGAAAACACCAATCAATATATCTTACACCTGAAATACATTAACACTCACATAAACTAGATGGAATTTTGACTGCGCGCAGTCGAAAATGATGCCTCCGCCATAGAGCAATTTAAACAAGTTTGGAGTTTAAATCTCCAGTGGTTCTTGAGATATCATGATAACAATCTCAATGTATGGAATTTCATAAGTTGACCTCTGTGACCCTTGACCTTTGACCTACGTGCTCCAAAATCTAATCAGATTGTCTTCCTATGGTGATACACACTATCATTAAGTTTGAAGTTTAAATCTCCAGTGGTTCTTGAGATATTATGATATGGTGATACATACTATCATTAAGTTTGAAGTGAAAATTCTTCAGTGGTTCTTGAGATATCGCGATAACGATCTCAATGTATGGAATTTCATAAGTTGACCTCTGTGACCCTTGACCTTTGACCTACGTGCTCCAAAATCTAATCAGATTGTCTTCCTATGGTGCTACACACTATCATTAAGTTTGAAGTTTAAATCTCCAGTGGTTCTTGAGATATTATGATAACAATCTCAATGTATGGAATTTCATAAGTTGACCTCTGTGACCCTTGACCTTTGACCTACGTGCTCCAAAATCTATTCAGATCGTCTTCCTATGGTGATACATACTATCCTTAAGTTTGAAGTTTTTACATCTCCAGTGGTTCTTGAGATATCATGATAACAATCTCAATGTATGGAATTTCATAAGTTGACCTCTATGACCCTTGACCTTTGACCTACGTGCTCCAAAATGTAATCAGATTGTTTTCTTATAGTGATACACACTATCACTAAGTTTGAAGTTTAAATCTCCAGTGGTTCTTGAGATATCATGATAACAATCTCAATGTATGGAATTTCATAAGTTGACCTCTGTGACCCTTGACCTACGTGCTCCAAAATCTAATCAGATTGTCTTCCTATGGTGATACACACTATCATTAAGTTTGAAGTTTAAATCTCCAGTGGTTCTTGAGATATTATGATATGGTGGTACATACTATCATTAAGTTTGAAGTGAAAATTCTTCAGTGGTTCTTGAGATATCGCGATAACGATCTCAATGTATGGAATTTCATAAGTTGACCTCTGTGACCCTTGACCTTTGACCTACGTGCTCCAAAATCTAATCAGATTGTCTTCCTATGGTGATACACACTATCATTAAGTTTGAAGTTTAAATCTCCAGTGGTTCTTGAGATATTATGATAACAATCTCAATGTATGGAATTTCATAAGTTGACCTCTGTGACCCTTGACCTTTGACCTACGTGCTCCAAAATCTATTCAGATCGTCTTCCTATGGTGATACATACTATCCTTAAGTTTGAAGTTTTTACATCTCCAGTGGTTCTTGAGATATCATGATAACAATCTCAATGTATGGAATTTCATAAGTTGACCTCTATGACCCTTGACCTTTGACCTACGTGCTCCAAAATGTAATCAGATTGTTTTCTTATAGTGATACACACTATCACTAAGTTTGAAGTTTAAATCTCCAGTGGTTCTTGAGATATCATGATAACAATCTCAATGTATGGAATTTCATAAGTTGACCTCTGTGACCCTTGACCTTTGACATACGTGCTCCAAAATCTAATCAGATCGTCTTCCTATGGTGATACATACTATCCTTAAGTTTGAAGTTTAAATCTCAAATGGTTCTTGAGATATCGCGCTAACAAACTCAATACAAGGAATTTCATAAGTTGACCTCTGTGACCTGTGACCTTTGACCTACGTACTCCAAAATCTAATCAGATCGTCTTCCTATGGTGATAAATACTATTCCCGAGTCTTAAGTTTAAATCTTAAATGGTTCTTGAGATATTGTGATAACGGTCAAACGGGACGGACGTACGGACATACGGACGTACGGACGGACAACCCGAAAACATGATGCCTCCGGCACCACCTTCGGTGGCGGAGGCATAAAAAACATTATCTTACACTGTCTGTAGTTTCAAATTAAGCAATTTAACATTGAATTAACACTTTATAAACACCAACCTGTTCAGTGAGAGACCATCCTGAGGTTTGTGAATGACACCTGAGCATCATGGAGTTGGGTTTCTTGGGGTTGAAGTGCTCCTTCATGAGATGGGCCCAGAGACGACGCGCCGCTCTCAGCTTGGCGATCTCAAAGTAGAAGTTCATGCCGATCCCCCAGAAGAAGGAGAGGCGAGGGGCAAACTCGTCAATGTCCATACCGGCTTTCAAGCCTGAGAGGGGATAGCGACAAAGAATAAAACAGTGGAACCTGTCTAGGAAGACCACCTGACTACAAGGACCATTTTTTGTGTTTCCCTTGGGTGGTCGTTACAGACAGATTTTACTGTACTACCAAGTCCTAAAACCTCGTTATTCTGAAGACATCCCTTTACTCAGAAACATAAGAACTAAGAGAAAAGAATTCATTCATTTTTCTGTCCCCATGGTTGCCTATTATTTAGTGATCAAAACACTATACACAAAAGCACATGAAATGGTTCAAGGAGCTACACATATTTAGCATAGTGAGATGGAGGAGAGTGGTACCTGTTCTGCAGTACTCCAGACCATCCGCTATGGTGAAGGCTAGCTCCAAGATAGTATCAGCACCAGCCTCTTGCATATGATAGCCAGAAATTGAGATGGAGTTAAACTTCGGCATGTGCTGGAAAAGAAAGTAATAGAGATACAAAGAAAGGAAGAAAGAAAAACTTATCAAGATTTTGGCTAGATGGCAACCTGATCACATTCTTTATCATTACTATGCAGTGGATCAAATGATCAGCAATTTGAGTCCTAGCTGAGGCACCAATGGCCTTTGGCAAGGCATTGACCTGAATACATACATGTGGGTGCAGTGAGTGGGTACACTGTAGGAAGTTATTCACTGAATGGTCTTTGCGCACTCACGCAGCTCCGCTTACCTCAGGGTAACAATAGTACCATGGGCAGCGTCCCATGAAACCGTCATAAGAACAAGTTCCCCGACATCCCATTGAAACCCTTGTTAAACTTAATACACCCATTTCAATGGGATGTCGGTAAACTTGTACTTAATATGACGGTTTTGTGAGATGCTGCCATGATGCCTTGTGCATCCCCTGGTATGGATATGTCCACAATATATATGTGCTTTATTAATATCATTATTGTTACTTGAATAGATGACGGCAAAACAGCAGCAGGACCAACAACTACAACAGCAGCAAATGAGTTACCTGAGAGGTGTAGGCAAAGATGTCACCTATGATTCTCAAAGGGCGTCCCCTGGTATGGATGTGCTTTATTTTAATCATTATTATTACTATTATTACTTGAATATATGATGGCAAACACAGCAATTCCAACAACAACAAAAAGAACAGCAGCAGCAGCAGCAAAGGAGTTACCTGAGAGGTGTAGGCAAAGATGTCACCTATGATTCTCATAGAGGGCTCTGGAGGGTAGATGTACGTATTCCTGACCATGAACTCCTTTAAGATGTCATTCTGGATCGTACCGGTTAGCTGCTCTTGACTTACACCCTGACAAACAGAGAGAGAGAGAGAGAGAGAGAGAGAGAGAGGGAAACGGAGGGAGTGAGAGAGAGAGAGAGAGGGACGGAGGGAGAGAGAGAGAGAGGAAAATAGGAGAGAAAGATAGGGAGATAGATAGAGAGAGGGAAAGAGAAAGAGGGGGAGAGGGAGAGAGATAGAGAGAGAGAGATTTAGAGAGACAGATATAGAGTGAGAAAAAGAGAAAGAAATAAAGAAGGTTAAAACAAGATAATATAAAGCAAGCAACTCAAACAGATAAAGAAAAAATTAATAATGTCTAGCGTTAAGTCAACAAATTGCTCAGTCAATTTTGATTTATTGAGGGACAACTCCTCCTGTTCAATTTTTTTCATTTTCTCCTTGTCCCTTTTACATGGGGACTTTAATCAAAAATATATAATTAAGAGAATAGGAGAGTCGATCAAATTAAAAAAAAAATTCATTCAGAGTAACTTTTCATCAGGGTTGATTTCCCTATAAATTGATAAATACTCACTTGTTCTTCTGCGGCAGCGATGAACATGGCCATAATTGGGAGAACAGCTCCATTCATTGTCATGGAAACAGACATCTTGTCAAGAGGGATGCTATCAAACAATACCTACAAAAATAAAGAGAATATACATAAAATGACAATGAAATTGAGGAGACAGAGAGACTAAACCTGGCATCAAGTGGAATATGACGATAAAAACATCAAAAGGATGAGCTTATTTAATATGCACACTCGATAAAATCAATATCATTTCCAGAATGAATCCTTTCAGTCATTGCAAGGCATCTTAGCAGCTGTCAAAGCATGTATTCACACCTTAGCTCATGCACTAGCGCTTTGGGAGAATCAAAACAATTTTGAAGACTTTAAGTATGAATTGACAGATTTGTTGCTTTGGTTGGTAATCTTGTACCCTGCATAAACCATATTTTGTATTCAACCCCAAAATAGTACAAGAATGCATTCACAATCGCAATTGGTTAAAGTTTGTCATAATTGCATTTCTATTTGCATAATTGCATTTGTATTTTGTGTAATTTTATTTGTATATCTTCATTGTGATTGTAATTGTACTTTTTTATATTCTAAATCCTTAAAAAAAAAAAAAATCCTGTAAAACATTATCTGGTTGCGAAGATATGTTTGAATAAACCTTGAATCTATTCATAGAAACATGCCCACGGTATATTTTTCTGAAAGTATGTGCATTCGGTATTGGCATCAAAGGTGATGTGCACTGATGTGCCCCCATCGTCCAAAATGAGGCTGAAAAGAGGAACACCTTACTTACCTTCATATCATCCACTGAATCGATGGCTACACCAGCCATACCCACATCACCATGCACTCTGGGATTGTCCGAGTCATACCTGCAAGGGAATACAATCAGAGTTAAGGGGAAGTTAAATTTGAACGATAGGCCAAGGCAAATGCTCAGGCCCAGGCTAAGGCTGAGGAAGAAAGGAATGATGAGGGAGACAAGAAGGGAGGTAAACTAAAATGAGGTAGAAAAGAAGGTAGAAAAGGAGGAGGAAACAAGAAGGGAGGAAGAAGAAAAGAATATAGGAAGAAAAAAAAAATTAAAAAAGATGAAGAAAAGAAAGGAGGAGGAATTAGAGAAGGTAGAGAGGAAGGAAGAGAAAAAGGGAGGAAAAGAAGGTAAAAAAGGAGAAAGAGAAGGTGGGAGAAAAGGAGGAAGAGAAGGTGGGAGAAAAGAAGGAAAACAAGGAGGAAGAAAAAAAGGGAAGAAGAAAAGAAGAGAGTAGGAAAAACAAATGAAGGTAGAAAAGGATGAAGAAAAGGAGGAGATGAAAGGAGGAAGAAAAGAAGGAGGAAGAAAATAAGAGAGGTAGAAAAGAAGGAAGAAAAGGAGGGAGAAAAAAGGAGGAAGAAAAGATGGGAGGAAGAAAAGGAGGACGGTGAAAAGAAGGAAAAAAATGAGCAAGAAAAGGAAAGGAAAAAGAATGAGGATAACAGAACAATAGAGAAAGCAAAGAAGCAGAAAGAAGAAAAGCTTTACGGTAGGATCTTACCCTCGATGTGTTGCCAAGTCAAATGCTACACTGAGTCCCTGTTGACCGGCCTTGATGTTCTCACGGTAAAACCTATTACTTTCCTCCACAGTACTGAAACCTGCATACTGAATAAAAAAAACACAAGGGATAACATAAATATTCATATATTCATGCATGATAAAGGAAATTATCACAATATCTAGGGCAGTGGTCTACTGATAATGACTCGACATTTTCTGCGGTGACAATGGCTCCCAGATGAATTTCGTCAAAGATTCATGGTTAGATTGAGTTTTTGGATTAGTTGAAAGGGGAAGTCTACAGTACCCTGATATTAAGTTGGTTTTAATGGAAGCAGAAAAATGAGAGGAACAGGTAAGTGAAAGTTTGAGCGAAGTCCTATTAAAAAATACAAAATTTATGAATATTTCAAGTTGCGATCAATCACAACACAAGCACCCTGTCACAACATCAATTTATTTATCATTAAATGAATTGGCCATTTAATTATCATTTTCTCAAAATGCTATTTCATTCTCCTCTGAACATTTACCGGTATGTATTTCTTCCTAAAGAAACATTTCTCACTTTCAATATCAAGGAGAACAATAATAATAATAATAATATGCCGTTCTGTGTAATATAACGTCTCTATGCGCTTTCAAAGGACTTTCAAGATTATTACCCTGGCTTTAGCTCCAACAACTAGTGCATTGAAGGAATGAATCCTACCAGGTACCCACCCACTTACTACACCTGGGTAGAATGGAAAATGTAGATTATTGTCTTGCCAAAGGTTTCAAACGGCTTTCAAACCTGTACCTTGTAGTTCACAGTCCAGACCACAATACCTCTACAATATGAACAAAGTAAGAATATTACCTGTCTGATTGTCCAAGGTCTCTGTGCATACATAGTGGGATAAGGTCCTCTGGTGTAGGGGTATTTGCCTGGGAGCTCATCAGGGTGCTTTGCTGTGTCTTGTTGAGTGAAGAGTGGCTTCAGAGAAATACCCTGTTTGGAAAAAAACACATATGTGTAATACAGAGAAACCTGCTACAGCGACCACCTGTATAGAAAGACCACCTGTCTATAAAGACCACATTTTATGTTTTCCCTTCAATAAAGTTTTTAATTGAAACATAAACTAAATGAACCTGCATTATATAGACCACATGCCTATGAACACTGCTTTCTTGTCTCCCATGAGTGGTCTTTGTAAACAGGTCTCACTTTGTCATACACTGTGTTGTTTCGAGAAGTATGATTTTACGAAGCAATGTATTACTGTTTTCAGGTTGTGTAAATAACTGTGCTGGTTTTCTTTGTGTATTCATGTATTTATAAAGATTTTGATCAGTAGGGAAATTAGACACTAAGAAACATGAAAAGCATCAGAGCATAAATTGTTTTCCTCAAACACAAGTTATTTGATCAGCAACATAATAATAACAGTGTTACAATGCAGTTTATAACACTTAATCATTAACTTAATAGGCCGACACTGGACTATAACAGGTCACGACAGCATTTCTAGTTCTCTCTTAAAAAAAGGAACTGCTATCATTCTCCAAGCCACCCCCCCCCCCTCCCCTTCCTCCCCCGGTGCACCCTGTAGCTACGCCACTGTGGTTAAGAAGGCTTACCTCTGGTGAATGCCATGTGAGTTTCTCTGTCGGATCTGCTCCCTTCAACTGTTTCTCAGCAAGCTTATTCCATTCTGGATTCAGAGGCTCTCTGTGCAAACAGCTGATACACGTCACTCTTGGTACTCCGGCCTGAATCATGAAATAAGGAAAAAAAAAATCTTTAAAAGAAGGTATCCTAAATCATAAAATAAAGATGTTTTTTCTCCTTTAAACAAAGTATCCTAAATCGTGAAATATAGATTTTTTTCTTTTAAAGCGGGACTGCGCTATTTGTAGCTACTTGCGCCTCTATATAGCAAACAATGCCTAAGCGGTACCCATTGGTCCCCCATGGTCCCCTTTTTCTTATGTTAATTGAGAGCTGATTTGATGAGATAACCACCTGTTAGTGACCATGCCGGGAGGTCTAATCCCTCCTGGCCAAACTAGTGCAGATAGGCTTTTAAAAAAGTATCCCTATTTTCAATAAAATTTTCTTCATAGAATAGCATAACTTGATATTTTGGAAAATGTTGTAAGGTCATGACTTAACAACACACAAAAATGAGATGGCAAAGTGCACACAAACTTTTATGAAGCATAGCTTACTAAGCTTAGTCATTGGGGGAAAACAACTTGAGAAAATTTGTTTGTTCTTGTCATCTGCAGATAGTATTGGTATTGGTATACCAACATGATTTAATAGTTTACAAATTACAGTTTCAATTTACACCAAGTCAAGTTTGATTTGACCCTAGATAAAACTGTAGAGAATAGAAATTTGATCGAAGACATGATCAATTGATATGAAATCTTTTATATTAAGTTGTATCTCATGAGCACAAACCTTGTAAAGTGAAGCAAAAAAATGTCTATGAAGGCATTTGGATTTAGGAATATTGTAACAAAAATTATCATCATTATCACTATCATCACCATCACCATCATCAGGTAACATCCGTTTTTCCCACACTATGGCCCGAATTCACAAAGGAGGTTTGTCGACAAATCTTGGTTTTTATTTCGACACGTTTTTACAAACCAGGTTTGTAAAAAACGCGTAAAAACGTGTAATATGACATACGAAAACCTCCTTTGTGAATTCGGGCCTATGGGTTTGGACATTACATTCCAGCTCCATGAACCTTCTCCAAGCGTTCCAGTCTTTAGCATCTACCTGGGTGAAGCCAGATACTCTCATATCTTCCTCTAATGTTTCCTTCCCAGTTTTTTTTTTTGTCACAAAAAATCTCTTTCTATTCATATTAGGCTTTACCTTGTGCAGGAGTTGAGCTGAATGCCAGCGAGCACTCTGAGCTAAAGCTGATCTAAGCTTCCACATGTTTGGAAACCTGCGTGATAAAGAGAAAAGGATCTTGGGTCTTCATCAAAGCTGAAACAAAACTATAACTCCTCAAATATCATTAGCATTGTTTGCCAAAGCAAAGTATTGTATTACAGCAAGTTTGTAATTGTTTGAAAGGCAACTCAAAATTGCTGAATATGCACCAGTCAAAGCCCTTCTCAAACTCTTGCATATTTAGCAATTACGAGCGAACAGCGCTCTATAATAAAAATATTCATATTTGCTGCGCCGCTACCGTGCATGTGCATGTATACTTTCCCATCAAAGACTTCTTCAATTTATAATTTTAAGTGGTTGGAAAGATGCCCAGAGTCAAAACTGTAATTAGTTTAGGTCTACTGCCTCTTTACATTGTGAAAAAATGTGACCCAACCCGAGCGCTGTTTAAATCATCTTCATAAACAGGCTCTGGAGCTCCCTAGTTGTAGTTCAATGAGGTATTGTGTGACATGATCAGTCCTGAAGATCACTGAAAGAAATTTGACCAATCTATTGCAGTGCTATTCTGCTGCTTTAAAAAACAAGTGCAAAGCTTTTGGGCGAATCTTGTTACTGGGACCGGGACTCGAGTCGGAGCACTATCAGCATCATACACCGAAGTTGTGAACGTACCGGTGCGACCATCCCACGCCTGCAGTCTCCCGCAAAAAATTGGTTGTTAACCTCTCTTTCACTGCCAACCCTCTAAAATTGCGGTTGCGTCATCACAGCTTATTTCTACCCATTTCAAGCAGCTATTCACAAGTCAAACCGCTACAGAACTCCGCCTTAACGTTAAAATTACATCATTCATTCTAAATACGACACATTTCCCACAACAAAATCGTCAGAAACTCTCACATTAACTAATGATTTACCAGAATTTTCTCCTGAGTTGACGTCGGGAATACAGACAGACTTGGGAGCGTATGGTATCTTGTATTACAAATCAGAAGAAAAAAAAAAAAAGAGTTAGTTTCATGATTCTTGGTCCTCCAAAATACTCGTCTGAGTTTTAACTGGAGATGCTCAAAAATGTATGTTATTCTTGGTTAATATAAAAGAACATTTTTTTCTCCAATTCTCTGTAATTGTTTTGATCATGCTTTAAAATCTGAAACAACCAATAGCCACCGTTATAATTTTTCCTCCTGTTCAAAAGTCTTAAAATTGATTGAATAGATCTCAACTGTATCAAACCTACCACCCATCCAATCACCACCCACTCAATCAATCAAACATTCATTTAATCTGATAATAAACACACCCCCCTGGGGGGTGTTTCACAAAGATCCTAAGTTGAACTTATCTCTAAGTTGGACTTAAAATTTATGGGAAGCCATTAGCATCCTTGAAAATATTTTGTAATTTTTTTTTAGAAGGCATGAAATGTTGATTCAAATCATTCATATTTTCTATTATCATGGGAGATTTCATGTTCTTGATGTGGAATTGATGAAAAGTCTAAAATACTCCAATTTTTGCTTTTGAATATATTTCATTTTAAGGCTCCAATGGCTGTCCATACTTTTTAAGTCCAACTTAGTGTTAAGTTCTACTTAGGATCTTTGTGAAACACTCCCCTGGATCAATTATAAGGAAAGTCCATCCGGACATGATCTTGGTATTAATAAAAGCAGAAAAAATGGGAAAGAAGCTGGTGAAAGTCTGAGTAATATCCGGTTAAAAATGGGAGTTATGAAGTTAGAAAATGTTTTAAGTTGTTATGAGTGAAACCAAAATTGGCAAAACGTTGATGTATCTCGCGAGCTCCTCTCCAATTTGCTACGTGCAGAACATTTCATAAATTTTTATTTTCTTAGTTATTGATGACAGAACAGACTTGATTCATACATGTTTGCATGATTGAAAAATCCTTATGGGAAAATATAAATATTTGAAGATTATTAGTACAGGGCAAATGGGAGAAGACCTCGCAAGATTCGTCAAAGAGTTGCCAGTTTGTTTTTGATTGATCACACTTTCAAAACTTTCTTATTTTTTATCAATTTTTGCTCAGACTGTCATCGACCCATTTCTCTCATGTTCTGCTTTTATTAAATCCAGCTTAGTATCAAGGCAGACTTCGGCTTTAATTGGCAACAGCTTGTAAAACAGACAAACCCTAGACCGACAGTGTTTGTCCCTCGGACCTTTTGTCAACTCTTATGAGGGCAAGAGAGTTGAAGAGACCAACAGCCAACTAGACCGACAATTTGCTATCCAGTTATGTGTTTGTTTTGTCAGTCTCATGGATCTCAAGATTTGGAGTACTCTTCTCGTCTACATACTCTCATGTATTTCTTTGTTATGTGGGCCGCCGGTTTAGTGAAATCTTTGTAAATGTCGGTCTTGCGGCTTGTTGACCATATATGTACTGTCGATCTAATGGCCGGGTGGTATTCGATAGACTAATGGGGCGTTGCAAAAAAGTTGCGATTGATTGCCAGTTGCAAAACTTGCAACTGATATTTGCAATCAATTGCAACTCAACTTTCTTGCAATGCCCCACTAGTCTCCTAAATTTACTGGGATTTTGTTAGGATTAAAGTTTGAACAATTAAATTAAGTTAGCGGTAACTAGAACTAGCTTTTATTCCCCCCCTCCCTCTCTCTCTCTTACTAATGAGGCATTGCAAGAAATTCAGGTTGCGGTCAATTACAAATTTGCAATTAATCGCAAGACTTACGCTTGATTTTCGGGATTCAGTTTGCAATTGATTGCAACTTTCTTGCAATGCCCCATAAGAAGAACACATTTTCACATAATTCATGACCCTGACCATCACTGTTTTAACATTTGAAGTACACAAAGAACACCATTAAACAAGACCTTTTTTTTTTCCTGTTTTCATTTTATTATTGTTTTCTCTAATAAAATAGATACACTGAATGTGTATATTTGGCAATGATATGGCAATAATCCATTTTGTACAAAATCACACACAATTTGAATTCAAGGTGTACCGGTATACATATAATTTGTTTTTATTCCTGATATACTGGGGTTATGAAAGTGCTCGCATCAGGTGAGATCAATTATTTTGAATGGCAAGTATATATTCAATTGTACTCTTGAAATTGAATAATCAGTTACAATCTTTTACATTTTCATAATAATCAATGAGTTGGAACTCTCTTTATTTAAATGTTTCATTATCTAATCTGCAAACAATTTCCCCCAGTATTTTCGAGCCCATTCATACCCCTTGTACATTTGATTAATGCCTAGGAATAAATGAAAAATCAGACCCATGTTACAATGTATGATCATAATAAATCCTTCCAGAGTGATCATTTCAAAGTTGACAAAAATCGATGGTGACTCAGAAGAATGGCAAATCACAAAGAAATAGATTAAAATGGGATGAGGAACGAGGACAAAAATAAACTTCTCCATTGAAAGCTCACGTAGCAGTCGATGGTTAAATAGAAAAAAGATATTTGAAACTAAGCTAGAGAATCCGAAAGTGTTCAACTGCAGAGGATAAGCACAGAAAACTTGTTAATAGCAACAAGATCGAGAATGGCACAACGGTATTATACTTTCCTTGGTCAACTAATGAGGACGAGTAATCGGTCAGAAACAGAGAGAGAGAGAGAGACAGATAGAGGGGAGAAAAAGATGACAGTCACCCAAGCACACAATATCACAGCAGACCTATAGCAGACAGAAAAGCCACTATCACAATGATATGTAAATTATTCCCTTACAGCTTTCCATAACAAAACCTGACAGGAGAACTGAGGCTACATCATGGATCACAACCTTTATTACAGAACTTCCCAAACAGGTCACTTTCCATACACAAAAAACAACCAATGGAGATGTAGAAGTACCGAACAGACTCAAAACACCTGGGAAAACATTTGAAAGACATAGGATCCAGACCAGAACATTTTCCAGTCAAGCCCCAACAGTATCCTCGAGGCCGAAGCACATCAAATATATCAAATACTGAAGAGCACTGCTGCAGGGATCAGACGTTACACAGGACCTTACACCTCTCCTACAACGACCATATACGTGTAACAGATGTTGGGTGAGGCCTAAAATAAAAACTTGTTGCATTGCCCTTTGCGACCGACCCAAAAATCTGAAAATCTACGGTCGGCATTTAAAAAAAGTTTTTTAGATTTTGTTATATTAATGAATACAAAAATATGTATTTTGTTTGTTTAAATGGGAAATACATGCATAAAATAAAATTATTCCCAAATTCTCACCAGTCTTTTGCCCTAGTTTTAATATCCTAGTATACGAGTGTAAGTAGACACCGGCCTCTTGTACGTGTTTATAGTTTAATACCATACACTGCACCAGCTAGAAAACTGAGAAATATCAGCCAAAAGAGGGCGGGAAAAAACAAAAAAACACATCAAAAACATTAAAAAAAATGAAAAATATCGGCCCAAAGAGGGCGACAAAAAAAAAGTTAAAAAAAATAAAATCTTTTCCGACCAACCGACCCATGTTTTGGCACCTAAAGGGCAATGCAACAAGTTTTTATTTTAGGCCTGACTTGGTATATTCAGGATAAGAATACCAGATGACAATAGTTGACAGTGTACAAGATGAGGGGTATGGGCATGGCACATCTTCTATCAGTATTGCAAAACACAAAAGAAAATCAAAGACAAAATATCATTCGTAAGAGGAGGGAGAAATTCACAGAGGAACAGCGGAAGAGACGGGAAGAAAACCTCTGAATTTGAAGAGGATTATCCTTAGATTGGCTCCTCCCCCAAAGGTAGACAATGACAAAAAGGTGGCATGATTGCAGTTGTCAAAATATCACAAGTGAACAAATAGTCAGGAAGACATGGGACATGATGATGATGATGACAAATTCGAAGTGCTTGGGCATGATAAATTGTGCTTTCTTCCTTGATTAAGATAATCCAACAAATCTCCTCAGATAAAACCAAAAGTTCAATGATTCTCTCTCAACCTATCAAGCAGACACCAAAGGTTTGAAATAGAGGTCATGGGACCCATTCACAAAGCCTTTTTTCAATGACAAATTACAAAAATCAGTGACAAATCCGCTGATGACCAATCAGAAGCAAGGATTTCAGTAGCTTATAACAGAAACCGTCATTTGTCACTGATGACATTTTTTGTGAAACGCCTACCAGGATGAAGGGGGGGGGGGGGGTTAAGACACATGATTAGCACTCTGGAAGTATTTATATGACATAGAAAGGCACACGATGGTTCAACACAAAATATATTACATATACAGTTTTGTAGGAGGTCAAACAGTGAAGGAGTAAAAGCGTAGAAGTAGAAATAGGGTGGTAGAATGATGCATAACAAAGTCTTCAACTAAACAATTAAAAGTATGCCAACATCAGCACTCGAGACTTCCAACATATCAAATTTGAAGCTAACAAGATTATTACACATTTCAGTATCAATTACAATCGACAATTTTGAACAAAATCTTGCTATTTTTTTCCTTCGAATTAATCACTTTTCAATCCATCAAAATTCAAATATCAGCATTAAAAATTGTTAAATAGCCATTCAATATCTTTGAGAAAAGTTCTTTGTGTGACTTATCAGATTATTAAACATTAAAATAATCTTGTACTGGTATAGGAAAACTAGAATAGATAAAGAACACAATGCAATATGAACACTGTAGAGAAGACATGATTTACTTTCTCCAAATCAAAGTGACTGAATTCAAAGGATTGGGAATGTAGAGGAATGATGAAGTGCAATTTGGTAAATAATTTTTCATCATATTTGTTTGATTGAGAAACATATTGAATGGATTTCATAATCCATAACTTTTGGGTAATAATGGCCAATACAGCTTCTATTTTTTTTAACTGGGTACAACAATTTTTTTTAACAAGAAAAGTATATTTGAGATAAAATTACCAGTAATGAAATTGTATAATAATTGATGAATAACTGATGGATAGAGTACAAGGTATTTTGTGTTATACTTTTCCTTAAAAATTCAATCAAATGTTAAATCTGTTGATTGCACTATGAGGGAGCTCATAGACATACTGGGGCCTGGGTTCAACATGAGATAAATGAAACTTCTGATGTAAACCTATGTTCTTCATGCTTTGTATTTGGCAATTTCATCAATTATATTAGACAATGAATATCATGAAAACAAAGTGAAAAATCATCTTGAAGCATAAGGAAACTTCAATGGAAATGTTTTATGCAATAACAAATAGTACACGTTTACTTTCAGTTCATCATATTGCATCAAAAAAGGAAAATATATGATTTTAAAAATCAAATACAACTACATACAGACATTACATGTAGTATTTTGACTCACTTTCACCTAATGACATAATTCTGTAATATGAAAATTATTTATAAAATCTGTAAAAGAGCACCAAAAACACAATGACAAATATTTTGCAACAAACTTGACAAATATACAGATTTGGTACAATATTAAGTATTTTCATAATATTTCTTGAATACAGAGCTTTGTTCAAGACGACCATAAGCACATTCATTCCTCACAAATGATGAAACATACACAAGTTTGTGCAACACCTGCAAGTTTATTTGTTTGCATTTCATGTTAAACAATGATACAATGAAATGAATTTTAATGTTTCAACTAAACATAAAATCCCTTGATCAAAACAGAGAGACAGAGGCAGAAATGGGGGGGGGGGGGGGGGGGGGGGGGGGGAGGGGATAGCCAGGGGGGAAAAGAGAGGGAGAGAGAGAAACAAAGATTGACTCTGAATGAGAGAGAGGGGTGAAAAGGGAAATTTGTCAGAAAAAGAAAAGAAAATAGTAGAAGTATAAAGATGGAAAAAATACCAAATACATTTGATACAAAGAAAACGGTACATAGCATAAATAATGATATTTGCATCACAATTGTCTATTCTTCTTCAACACACATTAATTGAAATTCAAAGACTGAGATTACTGGTAAACTCCTTACTTGGTCTCAACTACACATGTGATCAAACATTCATACTTACTGCTGCATATATAAGACATGTTTCCAAAATTACATGTACTTGTCTCCTTTATCCAATACAAAGTGTATGAGAAATTCAACAAACAAGTCCATCTATATTTAATGTAAAAATAATCACAAATTAAAAAAAAAATAAGAAAGAGAGAGAGACAGAGAAAAAAGACACAGAGAGAAAGAGAAAGAGAAAGGGAGAGATATATATAGTGAGAAAGAAGTACAGATTGAGAAAAAGAATGAGAAAGACAAAGAAATCAATGTAATCCTTTTGAAGGCGTGACATTTTCTTGAGCACTTGTTTTTCCTCTTTTAGCATTCCATGCAAAGTTATGTTGATGAACTTCATGAATTTCATGTACAGAGCCTCTCTTCAAGAACCTACGAAAAGAAATCTACATGTCTATTCCTCATTGAGTAAGACACTACAAAAAAAAAATGAAACAATTATTGCAATATATCTACACAAACATGATTACATTCTCTCTATTTGAAACACATAAAAACACACACCCACGCAAACATTCACAATTCAATAGAGCATCAAAGCTTTGGCAAGAATACAAGTACTGCCATATTGTATACAACATACTCAATTCATGTTCATATTCAGCTACATGTAACTTTTTGGCAATGTATTGCATTATTTTGGTAAAGAAGTACAAAAAATACTACACAAAAATATCCATTTCATAACATTTTCAAGGTGTTCAGAATAGTTCTAGATGATGAGTATCCTACAGTTTGGCAAAGCAATTTTACTGTACACTTGGAGAAAAGGTGTTTCAAACAAAATCTGTGGCAAATTTCAAGTTACAGGGTCCTACACATATGTCTCTGAAAACATTGAATAAAAAAACAAATCATCTTCCCATTGAGAGAAGATAAAAAACAGCCCTCACTTAAAAGAGGAGAGGGAAATTGCACAAGGTGAACAGTGCAGCATTATATGGCAAACAAATTATGTTTTTCAGCGAATTATTACATTCAAATATGTCCAGAAAATAATCTCAATATTGAAATAAAATTGTTTGCAACCCTCCCCCCATGAAAAAACAAACAAACAACAGAGCAACGATTCTCTATAAAAACTTTCAATTCAATTGGCAAAGTTCCTGAATAATTTGGATGATTTTTGAAGTTCATGTCGTCATATTCAGAGTGAAAAACACATTTCAAAACTGTACGATCAACTTTTCAATTTACATACACACACACACACATCCACCCCCACACTTATGAAAACCTTGTAGAAACCAATTATAATATGCTAATTGTTGTTTGTTACTTAGAACTTAAGACTTTCTTTCGCAACCCACTAGACTTATCACATCATTATGTCAATCATATTACCCCATTGCTTACTGGAACCTGGTGGTCCCTGTGTTAAGTCTATGGGAATAAGATGATTCAGTAGTCAAGGGGTTAAAGCTTCTTTTCAGGACAATCAGGCAAATTTTGTCCGTTCACAGCTAGAGGGCATTAAATCATTTACTGTAATACAGTTAAACCTGTCTATAGTGACCACTCAAAAAGTGGTCTTTGTAGACATGTTCCTTTAGTACATGTTTCAATGAGAAACCATTTTCTAGGGAAACAAAATATGTGGTCTTTGTAGACAGGTGGTCACTAAAGCAGGTTTGACTGTACACAGTTAATGCCCTTGAGTCTTTGAACAGACAATCTTGTAGTTTGGCTTGACGATATCTGATTCAGATCTCTAAAAATTTACCAGATGTATAAGCAGAAAGAGCAAATATTATCTGTACACACTTTGTACATTTTTGTTACGCTACCATTAATGGTGATACCATTTGCTTCCTGGATTTTAATAAACAGTAAAATCCTTAAAAAGATGCTAACATGCTGAAAAATGAATAAATGGGTAGGTTTAGCATCAATTTACAATCACTGTTTTTTTCACACACATTAGCAATTTTCAAACTTTTAAATTTGCATTCACTTCATTACCTGCTAAAGAATTCAGGCACATTAGAAAGGCGTAGCCGTGAAAAAAATAATACTGCTGCTTGCCAATCTCAAAAGATTATCACGGTATTAGATGAGCTTTTGACACTAGCACTATTGTGGTAAAAAAATAACATTGACCTTTGTCAAAAAATGGACAATATAGTGAAAAATATGAAAGGAAAAACAACAAGATTTGACAACTTCGAAGTAAAATTAAGATATTTGACATTTCAAACAGTAGTTGAATAGATAAATGTTCTGGTTTGAATTCACAAGCATGTGAATATTTTAATAGTGACATAATCAATTTCATAATCCTTCAACAATATCAAGCATTAAAACAAACATTCAAACTTTGAACAATGTACATCATGATTACTTATCAACATCTTGCAAGAAAATGCTTAAATGTTATAACTATGCATTATATTTTTAAAATGCAGAAAGCTATTTATAGACTATTTATCATCTTGTGTGAAGTCATGCCTGACATATCACGTGCTTACCCTCTCCTATGACAGGGGAAATCCCCTATTTACAAAATGTAAATGAGCCTTAGAACTAGCCACTAACAAATATGTACAGCGATATATAAATCATTATACTACAGCCAATTCACCAAAGATAATGAGCTGTACAAATATTCAACTGTAAAAAAATATACCGGTAAACAGTATATCTCCTTAGCAACATTTGGGAAATTAAGACCACACAAAAAGTAGTTTATAGTCCAAAACCATTCAAGTGTGCTAATTTCTGCTAAAATAGAATTTATACAAATATATAAGCAACAATTAATTGGAGAGTAACAATCAAAATTTGTCTACTCTAATCCTAAAGAGATATTATTTGAATACAATCATAAAATTGTATCTTCTCAAACATCCTCTTAATATTTACTTAATTACATTGAGAAACAAAATATCAAGTAAAAGAGTAAACTAGTTCAACTAGTTTTTGCCTAAAAACAAGAAGAGATCATGATTTGATTTTCATAGATACTGTACTTAAAAACTTTGCACTTTACAATTTGAAACATATAATTTGTGAGCCTGTATCTTCTTAAAAGAATGAGGTTTTGAAAAAAAAACCTTCTTAGCCTTTTATCGATTATGAATATCAAATTCTTGATGCCCTATATTTGATCCTTACAATCTCTTGACCCAAACCTTCAGAAATGGTAGAATTTGCTTTCGTACGGACTAAACTGAAATGATGATATACTTGAACCTTCACTTTGAGAAGGGCTGACATGCATTATTCACCTCAAGTAATAAGAAAATATGAAATAAATTGGCCACTTTTTACACTTAAACATTTTTGGAAATTTCCTTGAAAAAAACCCAATGTTAATATTTACAAAAATTTGACCATCAATACAAAATTTATGTTCACGGTATCGCCCTACAGACAAGAGAAAAGTTAATGATTGAACTATTTTTATCTGTGTATTGACATAAAATCAAATAAGCAAATAAGTTACCATTAATCTTCAATGAGATGATGCTTCAATATAAAATCCCTCCCTTTATAAATTTTTGTTTGCCTTTACAAAAAAAAAAAAACTTTCTGTACCAGGAGGGTCGAATCTGACTGGCATGAGCGCTTTACAAGAACCCACTGTTATTTTTATTATTACTATTAATATGGTTGTCGAATTCATGCTATTTACTTCAAATCATGATCTCTCTTCATTTGTAATCATTTAATCTACAATGAACGGTTAAAATGTCTTTTCAAGGAATATTGTACCATAGATGAATTGTTTAATAAGCTAAGCAACCTATTCTACTCAACAAGACAATTGACAGCTCACTGGGAGTGTATTTTAAGAGCAATATTTATCTGTAGAAGAAATATTTGAAGCTCATACATGTAGTTTGACTACAGTAATTGCAAAATGGAATCCCATATTACCAAGAGAAAAACATGTTTTGGTGATTGGTATACTTTAAGATCGAATATTAATATCACTTAGTGACCTCAACCTTTGATCCTATGGCCAATATCTAAAAAGGATCTGATCTAGTGAACTGGCCCATTGAAATACAATATAATTCTAAGTGACGTTTAAAGTCAGTTTGATTTTTCAAGTTTAGTAGAGATAAAGATTTGATGCTAACTACACAAAAATTAAGAATGCAAAAGCAAAATCATAAATATAAATATGCAGACTCAACTGTTTAGTGTGAGCCGATGAAAAAGTTATAAGGTATTCACCACTTATTTGCTGGAAATATTGCCTATCAACTACAGTGCCATGTTAAATTCTGTATTCTATAATACCTTTAAAACACTACAGAAGCATTAGTAAGAAACGGAAACATCAGTATTAAAATAAAAGTGAATTCCTACAAAGATCAAGCAGTAAGTACTACAGGTTTTAATCAAGGTTGATGTTTAGCTCCCTGTCAATTGCATAGATATGCTCCATAAAGGAATAACTACTATGTTTACATTCTTTTCTCACCGGTAACTGTCTGCCAATATAGTTGTAATAAAACAAAGGGCAAAATTGCATTAAACATGTCCCTACAATCTTGACAGTTTTTAAGTATTTTGTCAGCCTTTCCCTATCACCACTTGAAATCAAAGCAATGGCATTATTCACCAATCTTTCAGATTATCAGATTCTACTTGGGGGGGGGGGGGTGACTACTATATCTTATGTGTGAATCAAATATGTGAATATTATAACATTCATTTGAGTATTTGAGTATCAAGATTATCTTTTTGTATTAAAATGTTTTGGAGTTTTTGCTCAACACTATTTTTCAACTTACTGATAGGTCCAACAAAATCTGTTATTTTATAAAGTAACCCTTTTAAAGTAAAAGATATGAATATGTTTTGTTACAGATTAAAAATTATAAACTATTTCAATGTTAGATCTGCATCTCTACTGGAAATGTTGTCAATTAGTATATGTTATGATTGATAATGGCACCTGCAATTTCTCTTGTAATGTAAACTATGAATATGAATGATGGTGCCATATGTTTTTTTATGCATACAATTTATTTCAAGATGTTTAAGATTTGATACAGCCATTGTTGAATAAAACACAACATCCTAAAATGTGTGTATTGCCTGACTTGCTAGTTGCTAACATGTAATTGAAATAAGTCTCTCATTTTTAAATGTCTTAAAGACTAAGATGCATTTCACTTTGCTATTAACAACACCACTGCAAGGGATTTTTATGTCTTAGATATGTCGGATATTTGTTGCAAAAGGATATTAAAGAACATGGGATTAGTTGTATTTCTGAACTATCATTAGACAGAAATCTATTGACAGCAGTAACTTTAGTCATTGTAAATGTTGTTAAAAGTTTATTTGAATGCTTTGAGTGATTTCAGATTTGTAAAATTCATAACCCAATGGAACAACTAAAGTTACTGTACATCACAAAAATAGGACAGTGTATAAAGAGCATGTACAAATTTGGGAAAGTTTTGCAATGAGCAGAAACAATGTGATTCTGTATCTCTTTTAAATAAAGACAATTTCTTGGGAAATACTCCCTGTTTCATGAGTTGACTGACAATTGTTTATCAACAATCTCAATATTAGGATGTAAATCTTTAATAGTTGGTTGTTTGTAGAATGTTTTGTTTGTAAAACTGATAACTGATTGTAGATTAAAAGAAACATTTAAAATACTAAATCTTATTGAGTTAAATTGCAATTGAAATTTTTGAGACAAATTTACAAATGAAATAAATTGAGTTGAATCCGATTGGTGATACTCAGTCTCGACAAATTTCCAACTGACTTTGCTTCATAGAACAAGGAAAGACTGGCAAAATTATTAAAAAATAACCCAGAAGCGTAATCGCATCTGGATGGTCGAACGTCAATACTGATATACAGGGAATAATGATTTTTTTAGATTTTCTATATTCCAACTTCTTCTTAAGCAAGTTTTTCCTAACTTCCTAAGGAAGTTAATCTTCTGTTTTAATCCTTATAATCAAGTTTAAAGATTAAAGTCTTTTCAGTTCAATTAAATTCTTCACAAGGAAAGATGAAACTTTGCACATTGTAGGATGCCATCTGGATACACGAATCTCATCTTTGGGTAGTCATTATTCAGGTGATTTGGGTAATATGTTAAAGGGGCTTCATTGCACAATCCACTCATCATAAAGAGCATGTGGTACAATTTAGTGCAAGATGGATCCTACCACATATGGCAGCATCCTTCCCAAACTCTACCATGGGCAAGGATGTACCTTGATCAGGCTTCATCTACAGAGGTTCACAATGCTGCTACTACGAGAAGTGCGGTGAAGCTGTTCACATATGGATTAGAACAACAGCTCCTGCAGAACATGGGGATGGGCAATGTGAGCGTCATTCATTCCCATACTTGATAATGTATACACAAGGAGTTTCTTTGGGTGGTTAGCAGTAGCACCCATCTTGAGGCAACATATATGCATTTTCCTTGCGAGAGGCTTGAGTTTACACTTTCTCATTGAGCAATACTGACATGTTTCCCTTTATGAACAGCAGAGTAACTCAACAATGACACATGTCATTAACTGTGTTGGTCACTCTGCTAGCACCGACAAATGGATTACACATGGCGAAAGATGCAGAGAAGTACAGGCTTCGGTCATTGTCGTGTGGCCTTTGGCGTGCTTGATGAACTGCATATAAAATGGTCTCAGGAGATGCGAGTTGCTTGGCACATACAATACATTTCACTGTAGTAATTGATTACAGACATGGGCCTTCAAGTGAACAAGTTGATGCAGAGATGTGTTGACTTTGATTCTGAAAGATGCGGTCTTCTCCATGTAGGATGAACTGCACTGTAGATGGATGGCTTTTGTGAGACGCCAAGTTGCTCAGCAGTGTACAATGCAGGAATGAGATGATGCTCTGTCATGATGATGTCTCTAACGGATGATACTTGAGCGAATCAACATGATCGCCAGCCTCTGCTTACAGCTGTTGATCAGAAGCTAGCTGCAACCAAAACTGTACTATCTTGAGGATGAGACTTGAAGAGCTCTGAAGACCATGATCGTTGCAGAAGCTGTTCCTGTCACCTTGATGCTACTGATGAGATACAACCATGCTGCAGGGTAGTTAAGGGAGTTTGAAATCACTGCAAAGTTCTCGCTCAGATCAATTTATTATGTACAGAACACATAGGTCGGATTGATCGCTTAGAGACTTTGATGGTAAGCGCTTTATAAGTACCATTTTTATTATTATTATTATCAGCCTCTTCGTGTGAATGTTCATCAGTTCAGAGGCTCGCGGCGTCCAAGGTGAGGGTAAGACTTGGAGATCTCCGATGGTCACTCATTGTCGCCAACTGGCAGAAACTGTTCCTGGTAATTTCATATTGATGTCCTTGATGAAAAACACAGTCGGGAAGCAAGTGAAAAGTTTGCGATCACTGTCGATTCCTTTCGTATCGATTCATTAGGGATGTCATTAGTGGTGGTATTCTATGAGATTTCCTCCACTAAAAAATGACAGCCACATTTAGACCTTTGAAGTACATGTCAATAAACAGAACTCCTTGTGCAAATTTGCTTCTCATTCTTCTGTTGTGTGCATTGTAGTAGTAGACAATGGATGGAATCTCTTTGCACATTTCTAATGTTCAGGTCAAAGGTCAAGGTTCTTTCTGTTTCTCCTTTTGTAACTGTTTGGAGCTTCCATGGGCCCCTTCCAAGACAGCTCCTTACAAAATGATACGAGATCATATTTGGAAAGAACATGCATACATATATACACACAACCACACACACCCATTTCACCATGCAATAAAAGGTTTCCCACATAATGATGTTTGCATTTGAACAGACAATGCAGCAATTATCAATGATAAATAAATATACAGGGCACAGCTACATCAGATCCACACATCAAGGTACAACACTGATATTAAATACAATGTACTGCTTTCAAGGATAGTCATTTTGTAGAGGACAATTTCACAACAATGAGCAGAATGAATGATGCTGGAGGATACAGACAATATCAAATACCATGGGTTGGAGCTTCTTCTGTCTAACGGACAAACATTGTCAACCTTGATATCTTGCGATGGGAGAATCGTCGCCATCTGGTTGTCTGCCATTCCGTGTGGCTTTTCTCTGGAACTGGAGTGAACAGTGATGCCGTTCTGTCAAACGGACAAACATTGTCAACCTTGATATCTTGTGATGGGAGAATCATCGCCATCTGGTTGGAATCGGAGCGAGTTGTTATGCAGTGCTGTCAAACTTATACCAAGGATACATTGATGTGCGCAAGGTCAATCATTTGCCTGTTCAAAATGTAAGAACAATATTGAACGGTCACAGGAAAAAATTATATTTTTCATTTTGGGGGCTCCATTTCAAATTTTTTGGGAAATTTTCTGGGGCTGCTTTTTCAACTTTCTTGGGCTTTTTTTCTCCATTTCTGGGGCTCTTTTTTCTGGGGCTACTTTTTCATTAATTCATACAAGGATAGTTTGGTGGGTTTGTTAGTAGGCTTACTGGCTTATACATCTTTGATTAAGGTTTCAGGCTTCCTGCTTCATAATTGCCCATTAAGAAAGAAAGCATTTATCTAATTAAATAACTAAGTTTTACTGCATTGATTTGATGCAAGAACTGTAACATATTAGTAAAATTATTACCAATGTCCATGTTTTTAAATGACTGTCTGAATTCTTGTGAGACATTTTTATGATCATTATTATTGATGAGTGGAAGCTACACTGACTGACCTATGGAATCTCTGCTGGAAGATATGAGCATGTTCTGGATTGGTGTATCCAGCCGTGGCCTTCCGCTGCTGTTGATTCACCTTCAGGTACTAGAATATGCACAAGATAATAAAACAGGGGGGTGTTTCACAAAGATACTAAGTCGAAATTAACTCTAAGTTGGACTAAACAATTATGGAAAGCTGTTAGCATCTTTGAAAATATTTTGTAAAAGTTATATTCATTCATGTTTTCTTTTATCAAGGAGATTTCATGTTCTTGATGTGGAATTTATGAAAAGTCTAAAATTTTCGCTTTTGAACATATTTTATTTTCAGACTACTAATGGCTCTCCATAATGTTTAAGTCCAACTTAGCGTTAAAGATAAAGACCAGATATGGTCATGCGATAGCATTGTGAAAGAAACATTGTGGAATCGATCAGAAAAGGTTGATCATCTAGCATATAAGTATTGGTGTGTACTGCAAGGTTCTGGAATCATCAAAATGATAAGAAATTTGGCCCAGTCTTTGTAAAGTTACAAGCACTGTACACAGAAAGATGTATATGGGACTAAGCACACGTGCACGACACGTGCGTTTATCTCTCACAGTCCAATAGATAAACTAATTTACCAAATATATCAATTAGTAGGTGGTTTCCCAGCAAAATTTTTATCATATTAGTCAAAACATATTCTTTCACATGATTGGTAATAAAGAGCTTCCATTTCATTTTTTGAAATTTGGGCGTTTCCAATACTGGTCTTTACTTTAAGTTCGACTTAGGATCTTTGTGACCCCCCCCCCCCCCCCCCCCCCCCCCCCCCCCGGGTACTGTGCATTGGATATGAGCAACATCAAAGTATCCAGTGTTATTGCCATTATTCTTATTATGCAAGATGATCTTTTTTTCTTTCTATTTTTACAAAACTTGGATCAAAAAGTCTTGTAAGCTAGATAAACTTGCAGGAGGAGAGAGAGAGAGAGAGAGAGAGGCAGAAGCGGGAGTTCAAACGGCATAGGTGAAGGGGTGTGGTGTGTTGAATGGGTACCCTGTAGGATGCGAAAGTTAATTTGGTTAGATGAGCAAGTGTGCGCTATCAAAATTGATGCCTGGCTGGAATGCCTCCCAAGGAAGTGGAGAATGTGAATACGTTGTGTGCAGGTGAGTCTGAATCCGATGACCGGGGTAATAATACAGTCAAACCTGCTTTAGTGACCACCTGTCTACAAAGACCACCTGTCTACAAAGGCCACATTTGTTGTTTCCCTTGAAAATGGCTTCTCATTGAACCATGTACTAAAAGAACCTGTCTACAAAGACCATCTGTAAAGCGCTTTGAGAGGGCCTGCGATCCTGAAATGCGCTATATAAGAAGGAACTATTATTATTATTGCCAACTTACCATAATGGGACCGACGGACCGAAGCAGGTTACCGATCCTCTCCTTGGAGGTAGACGTTGACAATCCAAGGATGGCCACAGAGGTACCCTGGTTACTGAACATGGGTTGCTGCTGCTGGCCTCCCGGAGGTATGACTGTCCTCTGCTTGATGGGGGCTGGACCAGGGGGAGGTGCATCTCCTCCTCTGAAAGTGGTAGAGAGAGAGAGAGAGAGAGAGAGATGGGGGGGGGGGGGGGGGGGGGGGGGAGAGAGAGAGAGAGGGGGGGGGGGAGGGAGGGAGAGATAAAGATGAATGTATGTATATATATATATATAGAGAGAGAGAGAGAGAGAGAGAGAGAGATAGAGAGAGAGAGAGAGAGAGAGAGAGAAAGAGAGAGAGAAGGGAGACGAGATGGGAGGGAGATAAAGGTTGAGAGACAGAGAGAGGGAGCAAAGAGAGAGGCAAAAGAAAAAAAAAACAGTAAAACATGGGTAGTGTAGCTTGATTGATAGTATACAAATAATACACAGGTGTGAGTGTGTTATGGTCGATGCAGCGCATGAGGGTTTTCACTATGGTGCAATAAAATTCACGAGGCATAGCCGGGTGTATTTTGTGCCATTGTGAATACCAGAATAGCGCTGCATCGCCATAACTTCATGAACGACAACCTGTTTATTATTTGTTTCATAAAATGGGTCGGCAATCAAACTTAGGAAGGCGATAACACTGTTAACCTGCAGGCTTCATAACAATTAATACAGTGTGCACACAGACGATCACGACAGCAGTGGCCTCGTAAACAAACTGTGCATTGCATGGTGCAACTTCTCGTAAACATCCATTGAATTACATGCAGCGTGCATTATGCCTTTTGTTGCACTATTTTTGCACGGTTTATAGTGACTGTAAACAAATTATTCACACATTAAACCTAAGAGAGCACTTTGGTGCCACAGCAAAATACTGAAAATGAACCACATTCTAAATAATTTGTTCGAAAAAAAGACATCGCATTACATATCAGCACATGAATCCCATGTATTGATCATTGCTAGATTGAAAAAATAGTCAACTAACCAAAATAGGAATTTCTGGGTCATTATATAAAAAAATAACAAATCTATTTTTTTCTTCCCAACTTTCTCTCTCTCTTCATTTCTTAATTGACTGAATTTACCTGATAATTGTTCTTTGCACAGGCGGTGACTGCATCTCCTCATGATATTGCATATTCTGGTGTTGAGGCTGCTGCTGTTGGGGTGATGCAAGTCTATTGTGTACCCCACCCCTTCCCCCTCTATTACCCGTCCTCGCCCTCTCTGTAGGTTGCCCCTTCCTCCTCTCATACCACGATTACCCCTTGGGCTGCCTGGCATACCCCCCATCTGTGCCTGCATTCCACCCCTCGGTCCTTGCATGCCCCCTCTCTGGGGTTCCATACCCCTCTTTGTCCTGGCATGCCGCCTCTCTGTCCTTGCATGTTGCCTCTCCCTCTCATCATACCTCTACCAGAGGGGTCGTGACCTCTTCCAGCGTTCCCCCTCATCGCCCCCCTCCCCCGCATGTTGCCCCTTCCTTGTGGGGCACCCCGCATGGCACCTCTACCTCTCTGTCCTCCCCTGTACGGCCTACCACCCCCTCTGTTGTTCCCTTGATGGAAGTCCGGGTGCATGACCACTGTCCTATCCTGGGGTGGCCCATCCTGGTGGAACTGCTGGCCTCCAGGATGGGGTGTCTCTGGTCCCTGATGATATCCTTGGTGGGGACCTGGAGGCAGTGGTTGGTTGGGGGATGGTCCTTGCTGGAACGAGTCTTGCTGCTGGAATCCTTGCTGCTGCTGCTGCTGCTGGGGCGGGGGCATGAAACTGGGTTGATTTGGTGATCCTCTTCGACCTCGTCCTCGCGGCTGACCGCGACCTCTGCCTCTGAATTGACCTCTGACTAGACCCCCTGTTTGTTGTTGACCCTGAGTATATAATATGAAGAAATTAATCATTTCAAAAAGTTATTCCACATACAAACAACAAACTATACTACCAAAAAAAACTCTCCTTATCCGGTCTTAAATCCTTGGGAGCACTTTGTCCTGTCATATTTCCCATAGAAGCAAATTCATAACAGTTTGCAGGTACACATCCTTGTTAGATGTAACTGTGTGTCAGGACTGTATTAGGCTACATAGGCAACACAGTCTACTGCAATCCATAGACCCTGTACCAAAAGGTGGAGTACATGCACCCTCTTCCCCGCCTGGGAGATTGCCCAATCCTGGGTGGGGGGTTATATTGACAAGGATCAATTCAGGTTCTATTTTGACAAAGTGAAGTGAATGTTATCAACTTACCCTTCCCCTGTATGCTTGGCCACCCCCTCCTCTGTTTGGTGAGGGGGTCAGCATGGTCTGGGATCCCCCTAGGGTGGGGATGGGCTGCCCCTGGGGAGGGGCATTATCCGTTAACACCTGATTGATGATGAATATAATGGAAGACAAAGTTTAATGAAAAATAGCAAAATGGAAGTTCCAAAATGAATCATAACATATATTTGAGGAAAAAAATAGATGGATCTTCGACTGCATGCAGTCGAAAAATACTGCCTCCACCATGAAGCGATTTCACAAACCAAAAAGAAGCAATTTTTTCAAATTCAAGTTTGATTGTAATCCATGAACAGGATCTCAGAATATCGTGAATACAGAAATTGGCAGGAATTGGCAGGAATCCATCAATCAATCACCTCTTGAGAAAACGAGATTACGAGAACGGGTGGACAACCCGAAAACATAATGCCTCCGGCTACTTCGTAACAGAGGCATAAAAAGAGATAGTCAAATCTGCTCCAGTGACCAGCTGTTTGTATGACCACAGTACGGCCATCAGCTTATAGCGCCTGGCTGTTGAAAGATGGTCAATTATCTAATCTTGTTTTAATACTAAATTGATCTCTCCAACCATAATGACATTTGCATGCTATGTACCCTTTAAATCTGGGGTGGAGAGATGCAATGGAGATAAGAAATGCCTTACTAACTTAGACATTGCCTTGATTCTCCAACCTCTATAACATCTGCGCATCAGATATAGTGGTGCATGAGCGCAAGAGCCTGAACCATGGTATTCCAAAAGTTCAACTCATCAACATTCAAACAGCTGATGATCTTTTTTTTAATGTTTAATTAGTCTGTACACACTTGTTCATGTACTACCAACTCTTTCTTTTTTCTTTACTTTGTATAATTATCTATGGCCATTGAAGCCCAGCATTTTAAAGGCTGATGGCCTCTGCTGGCTCCTCCATATTCTTTGTATTGTTCATGTATTTGCTTTTATGTATAATGTATTGTTGACTGTATTTTTTTACGAGAATTGGAAACAAATGATGAAATTGGCAGATCAAGACCACTGGGGAATCTGAATCTGATAAAGCAGAGCCTAAGAGCAGTTGACCGATGGCACTCCGAAAGTTCAAATCATCAACGTTCAACCAGCTGATGATCCTTTCCAGACCAAGAATATAGGGGATTCCCAATTTGCTATCCAGGGCTTCAAGAGCGAGGGTCTGACCAAAGCATCTGACCATGTGTGTCGAATCACTGTCAGATCAGCTGATGAGCCTTTGCAAACCAAGGTTAACGAGGGATCTGGATCTGCTGCACAACTCCCCAAAATCGTAGGCATCGCATCCAGACCAAGACCATAGCGGAATCCCGATTTTGCTTTCCAGGGCTTCAAGAGCGAGAGTCTGAACAAAGCATCCGACCATGTGTGTCGAATCAGTCAGATCAGCTGATGAGCCTTTGCAAACCAAGGTTAACGAGGGATCTGGATCTGCTGCACAACTCCCCAAAATCGTAGGCTTCGCATCCAGACCAAGACCATAGCGGAATCCCGATTTTGCTTTCCAGGGCTTCAAGAGCGAGAGTCTGAACAAAGCATCCGACCATGTGTGTCGAATCAGTCAGATCAGCTGATGAGCCTTTGCAAACCAAGGTTAACGAGGGATCTGGATCTGCTGCACAACTCCCCAAAATCGTAGGCATCGCATCCAGACCAAGACCATAGCGGAATCCCGATTTTGCTTTCCAGGGCTTCAAGAGCGAGAGTCTGACCAAAGCATCCGACCATGTGTGTCGAATCATTCAGATCAGCTGATGGGCCTTTGCAAATCAAGGGTAACGAGGGATCTGGATCTGCTGCACAACTCCCCAAAATCGTAGGCTTCGCATCTGACCCAATCAAGATCAAGGAATGGGTCTGTGAGACCAAGCCTTCTGCCTGGACCATAGATTCTGTGAAGCAACCCAAGATCGAGGTTCCAAAACCTCTTGCTGATCCACTGAAGAGGCCATTCCAGCTTCCAGCGCCAAAGATCTTGAACTGGACCACCAAGCCTCTGGAAATCAAGCACTTTAAGCCTTCACCAAGACTTATCCTTACACAGCCTGTTGAGGTTGTTTATGTACTACCCACTCTTTCTTTTCTCTTTACTTTTTATAATTATCTGCAGCCATTGGAGCTCAGCCTTTGAAAGGCCAATGGCCTCTGCTGGCTCCTCCATGTTCTTTGTATTGTTTATATCTTTGCTTTTATGTATAATGTATTGTTGAAAGTGTTTTTTAGGAGAATTGGAAATACATGAATGAAATTTGCAGATCAAGTTTTTTGGGAATCCAAATCTGATACAGCAGAGCCTAAGAGCAGTTGCCAGACCAATGGCACTCTGAAAGTTCGACTCATCAACATTCAACAAGCTGATGATCCTTATCTGCAGATCATATCACTTGTGAAACAGGATCTGATAAAGCAGTGCCTAAGAGCAGTTGCCAGACCAATGGCACTCCGGAAGTTAGACTTATCAACGTTCAACAAGCTGATGATCCTTATTTGCAGATCATATCACTTGTGAAACAGGATCTGATAAAGCAGTGCCTAAGAGCAGTTGCCAGACCAATGGCACTCCGAAAGTTCGACTTATCAACGTTCAACCGGCTGATGATCCTTATTTGCGGATCAAGTCACTCGGGATTCAGGATCTGTTACAGCAGAGCCTAAGAGCAGTTGCCAGACCAATGGCACTTCGAAAGTTCGACTCATCAACGTTCAACCAGCTGATGATCCTTATTTGCAGATCAAGTCACTAGGGAATCAGGATCTGATACAGCAATGACTGAGCACAAAGGTCTGAACAACAACATTTCAAATGTTTGACTCATCAACGTTCAACCAGCTGATGATCCTTTCCAGACCAAGAATATAGGGGATTCCCGATTTGCTATCCAGGGCTTCAAGAGCGAGGGTCTGACCAAAGCATCTGACCATGTGTGTCGAATCACTGTCAGATCAGCTGATGAGCCTTTGCAAACCAAGGTTAACGAGGGATCTGGATCTGCTGCACAACTCCCCAAAATCATAGCATACATGCCAACATTTGAAAATCAGAAATCTGTACACTATGTGCGCGAAGCGCACATCACGAGCGCGAAGTCCTTTTAGCCGGGGTCCAGGGCCCGCTTTAGGGCCCTGGAAGCTCTGGGTTTCCAGATGCTCTCTGGTGCAATCTGAGCCTATTTTAGGGACCATTTCCCCTAAAATTCAACCCAAGTTTATGGGTAATTTTTGTGTCATACCAAACAAAAAAGTGATTGAAGTGAATTCCACATTTTAATTTATCCTTGGCAGAGGCAGAGCAGATAATAGACATAGATTTAATTAGCCACTCATGCAGAGTGATGCATTTAAGTCTAGACTTCTAGTTACTTTTTAAATAATTATACATGACATACATGTAGATCTAGTCTATGCATAAAATGAGACTGGCAATAATGGTATTCAACTTTCCAGACAACATGCAGTCAACAATCCAAAATTATTGTAACTCATTGAGCTACATGTAAATGAGGTTGTCAAAATCAATGTCAGCAGAACAAGACTCCACCACTGATCTTTAGATCTTGCCGACAATAAATGCAGTATACATTATCAGAGATGCCAACCCTATATGATGGCTGTCAGTAACATTTACCATATTTGTCCGTAACAAACGGGGGTCTTTCCGGAACGCAAGACACCGCAGCATAATTTTCGCGCAAAACGTACACAAACACCCAATCACTCTTACTGCATTTCGAACCTACCATTTTTAAGTCCAAAATAAAGATGTGCATAAAAACGTTTTTAAAAATCTGTTTCCAGTCAAAGGATCTCCTCCTTGGGTACTCGCTCTTTTGAGTGAATCCATGATAATATTCAGGAAGAAAACACCTTGTTCAAGCGTCGAATGGCAAATTCGAATCCACAGTCAAACGGCAGAACTCGTATCCTACACACGCACACGTACACTCACGATCACCAGTACCACAGACACTCCAGCCCAGGCCGCTAGGCCCGGCGTTCATGAACAACAACACACCGTATATCGCACTTGCAATGTGCCCATTGAATCACCGAAGTCTTCGCTACTATACTTTGAATGGGTATTGCGGGCGCCGCGCGCACGATCATCTACCACCATGCTCCCCCCAAAATGCACGACCGCACACTAGTATCAAAACAGTAATAACGGCGGCCGTGTTGTTTCGGAATTAAACAAGATGGCGGCGGACGGACCATGTGCGTGAAAGTGCCTATCCAGTGTAGTCAATGCTATGTATCAGGGGTGATAGTGAGCACTAAAAAAAAAATAGGTTTTTTGTTTTCCCCTCAACCACGCCCCCCTTGAGTAAAAAAAAACAGAAGAGGATTTGCGGGGAAAAAATGGCATGTATCAACATTCCCGCCTTTCAAGTGAAAAAAATTTGGACAAAATTAGGGCAAATTAGGGAAGAGTAGAGAAAATAAGAGGGAAATCGGGAAAATCAGGATAAAATATGGAAGAAGAAAAAAAAATTGGTAAAAAAAAAAAAAAAAAAAAAAAAAAAAAAATCTGTTTTTTTTTTTTTTTTTTTTTTTAATAAATCGGGAAGAAAAAAAAAAATCGGGAAAAAATCGGGAAAAATAAAAAAATCGGGAAACCGATTTAAATCAGGTTTTTATCAGGCCTGTATGTATGGAAAGCCAAATTCCCCAAAATCGGAACGTTCCGTTTTTTTAGGGCTATAAAAACTTCAAAAACGGAACAGTTCCGTTAAAATCGGAACGGTTGGCATGTCTGTCATAGCCATCGCATCCAGACCAAGACCATAGCGGAATCCCGATTTTGCTATCCAGGGCTTCAAGAGCGAGAGTCTGACCAAAGCATCCGACTATGTGTGTCGAATCAAAGTCAGATCAGCTGATGAGCCTTTGCAAAATTGAGGGTAACGAGGGATCTGGATCTGCTACTCAAATACCTAAAATTGTAAGCATCGCATCTGACTGAATCTCTCCAGTCAAGGAATGGGTCTCTGAGACCAAGCCTTCCGCCCGGACCATGGATACTTGAAGCGACCCAAGACAAGGCATTGTGTGGAGTTGTGTGGGATGTGAAAGAGGTTGTGTACTGTATGAACCATGCTTGGTTCATGTGGTGCACAACTTTTTGAATGTCTTTTCACAGTTTTACACAACAAATTTAAGGTGTATGCACTTGGAGAGCAAAATAATTATTCTGTTTTATTTACTAATGTAAAGCGCTTTGAGCATAAATGTAAAGGCGCTATATAAATATCAATATGTATGTATGTATGTAAGATAGGTGTCAAAACCTCTTGCTGATCCACTAAAGAGGCCATTCCAGCTTCCTGTGCCAAAGATCTTGAACTGGACAATCAAGCGTATGTCAAGGTTCAGGAACATGTGTCTAGCCCTGAACCTCCAAAGATCACCCCCAGCAGCAGCCAAAAAGGAAACCCTGACAAAAAGCCTTCAGATTCTAGGATCACTTGGACTTATGTACATGTACTTTCACCAGGACTTATCCCTACACAGCCTGTTAAGGTTCAGGAACATGTGTCTAGCCCTGAACCTTCAAAGACCACCCCCAGCAGCAGCCAAAAAGGAAACCCTGAGTAAAAGCCTTCAGATTCTAGGATCACTTGGACTTATGTACATGTACCTTCACCAGGACTTAATTCTACACAGCCTGTCAAGGTTCAGGAACATGTGTCTAGCCCTGAACGTTCAAAGATCACCAGCAGCAGCCAAGAAGAAACCCTGACAAAAAGCCTCCAGATTCTAGGATCACTTGGACTTATGTACATGTACCTTCACCAGGACTTATCCCTGGTGAAGGATCACATGGACCTCCTGGGTGGAGAGTAGAAATCAAGGGAATGAATGCAAACAGGGAAACGTCCGTACGGTAGACAACGCCAACTCTGCCATGGCTCAGCACTTGCTGAACAACCAAGATTGCGCTGAATACTGTTCATCTTGGTTCAAAGTTCTCTGCGGAGCGAGAAACTTTACTCATCTGCGCATGCTCAAAGCCACACACATTCAGTTGACCGACCCTCTTCTATGCAGACATGCAGGGTTTGTTCAGAGGATCGTATTATTTTAGCAATCATCCCGGCATAACCGGCTGGCAAGAAGCCTAATTTACCGTTACCATAGACAGCCAATCAGAGCTTGTTATATTTGCACGTTGTTCCTTTTTGTTTCCGTTTATATTGTTTGATTTCAGCTTTCTGTTACATTCTTGTGTTTTACTCTGATGAGTGAAGACGAAAAGCTTAAGTATGGCTCTTTCAACGGGATTCTCCAAATGAAGATAAAGTGCCTCTACTTACCTTGACATTGCCTTGCTCTCTCCACTGCTGTCCTGGTGGCTGTTGCTGGTGGCCCCCGCCCTGGTGATGGAATGGGGGTGACCCCTCATCTACAGGGGCACAAAAAAGAGAAAAATTAGAGTATGTTAATCTGCAATAGTTTTTGAGATACCTTTGGCAGGGGTAAATGGAAATGTATGTTACTTCAAAAATCAAAATGTGAAATAAAAAACCCAAACAATCAACACACGAAAGCGATATTTGTACAAGAAAACTGGCGATGACTATTACGCAATGCAATTGTAAAAATGAGTGTCAACACAAAAGTCTATCAGCCAGTCAGATACCCTTGAACAAAAAACTTATTCAATATAAAACATTTAAGTATACAACACTGACTAAAGTTAAGTGGGTATCCTGACGGTGTGTTATGATTTTCAATGCAAATTGGAAAATAACGTAATTTTCTTCAAGGATATCTCTAATTGCTGCAGAGATTTGTAATTTCTTTGTAATATTGTAAGACAACTATAAGTATTATAATTCAAATAACTGTGGAGTTTGCTTTATTCCTGTTGATCAGTTAATGATAAGTTCATCATCACTAAGTGAATCATGAACAGCGATTCTTGAGATACATCATATCAACAGGTTTGAGGCAATAACCAACATTGAGGATATTTACTGGTAAAGTGCATCATAAGAAACTGTGATCATGTGAATGAACCGCAAGACCCCTTGTGTCTGGTCTAGTCATTTTACCTTCCTTGATGTCTTAAAGCCTATCTGTACTAGTTTGGCCAGGAGGGAATAGACCTCCCTGCGTGGTCACAGGCAGATGGTTATCTCATAAAATCAGCTCTCAATTAACATAAGAAAAAGAGGACCATGGGGGATCGACGGGTACCGCTTAGGCATTGTTGGCTATATAGAGGGCGCAAGTAGCTACAAGTAGTGCAGACAGGCTTTAAACCTCTTAACTTGACCTCATGACCCATCAATCAAATTGTCATTTGTGGCATACAAGCTGGTAATGGCTAGAGAGTTGATGGCTACATATTACTCACCATGACTTGCATTTTGGTTGGTGTTGTATACAACATGTTGCTGGTGTTGCTGCTGCTGCTCTTGATGGTGGAACTGTTGAGTTGTCTGAGCTGGCGGAGACACCATCTTTGGTGGGCGAGTCTCCTGCTGAGGGCCTGAAGCACTCCCTCTACGTTTCATTGAAGGTGTTATCTTTTTGGCTGCGGAGGGTTGGTTGGACTAAGGGAGCAAACAAAAAAAGAAAATTAAGCCCCACTGTTCTACTTGTAGCTACTTGCTCCCTCTATATAGAAAACAATACCTAATCGGTGACTATTGGTCCCCCATGATCCTCTTATTCTTATGTTAATTGAGAGCCGAGTTGATGAGATAACCACCTGTCCAGTGGCCTTGCAGGGTGGTCTAATCCCTCCTATAAACTAGTACAGATGGGCTTTAAAAGATCTTGTTTGTTGGAATATGCATCAAATTGCTCTGGAAATGATGTTTTCACAATCCTCTTTGATTTCTATTTGACCTAATAATGCAAGCTCTTTGAAACTTTTCTAAAATTCTAAATCTGGATTGGACTGACCATCAGCAAATAAATAAATTCTGAATAAAATTTGAAAGTGCAGAGCGACATGGGAAGTGTTTTGTAACTTAAATCATTTTTTTTACACTGAAAATATATTTTTAACATTCATTGTAGTATGTGCAGGATTTTCTTTCAAGTGGTTAAAAGGATCTGGTAACTTTGTCTCAGATTCCGAAACAAAATTCTGGATTTAGCTCATGTTGCAATGATAATTATAAACCTTTAGGTCAGTCAGGAACCCCATGACTTTTACAAGCCGATTGCCTATCTGATTATCAAGATATTTATGTTTGGAAGTACAAATTTTGAAAACCATTTGCCAAACGGTTTTCATAAGACTACATTGGGGAAAACGAGTATGGTAAAACCGGTCACTCAAAGATATTTACTTTTTGAGGCACTTCTTGATCATTTTGAAGCGCAAGTTTTTTAGGGCTTCAATATTACACCGTATCACAGACACTGATAACATGTAGGCCCGTATCTCAGATTTAACATCGTTAAACGATCCCTTTAAAGAGTTTTTCTTCTTCTTTTTCATAGCATTACTTTAAAACCCTTTTTCAGCGCTCTTTTAGAGCTTCCTGAACCTTCCAGAGCAAGAATGCTAACATATGATTTTTCCACTGTATTTGATACGTACTACAAAAAAAAAGACCATTACAATAATCATTTTCTTTGTTTTGTTAACCCATTGGCAACGGGAACCGGGTGATCCCTGTGTTAACTCTATGGGAATGAGAAATTCAGTAATCAACGGGTAAATCTTACCGTGTCTCCGTGTTGCTTCTTCTGATCGGATATTCTCTTCTTGAGATCGGCTTGTTTCTGAATGGCCATCTGCTGGCGCCGCTCTTCCTTCCGCTTCATGATGAGTTCTCGTAACTTCTTCTGTTCATCGATCATCACCCTCAGTCGCTTCGTCTCTGCATCTTCATCCAACTACAAATCATGGAAAAATAAAACATGATAATGGTGTTGTTTCTTTTTAAAATTGAGAATTGTTTCAAGGCTTCAGATTGTTTTTTTTAAGTGCACTCTCATTTCTGTCTCTTCGTCTCTGCATCTTCATCCAACTACAAATCATGGAAAAATAAAACATGATAATGTTGTTGTTTCCTTTTAAAATTGAGAATTGTTTCAAGGCTTCAGATTGTTTTTTTTAGTGCACTCTCATTTCTGTCTCTTCGTCTCTGCATCTTCATCCAACTAGAAATTACGGAAAAATAAAACATGATAATGTTGCTGATGTTGTTGCCTTTTAACATTGAGAATGGCATCAAGGCTTCAGATTGTTTTTTGGTGCACTCCACTTTCTGTCTACATTCACAAATGCTATGTTGCTTCCAGACTGTACAGTAAAATCTGCTATAACCAACAACTCTTTAGTAAGACCACATTCTCTGAAGGCACATGTTTTGTTTTTTGTAACCTGTACAGAAAGACCACTTTTCTTGTTTTCCTTGAGTAGTCTTTAATATATATACATGTTTCACTGTCCCTGTCAGCTAGAAATAATCCTAGATCTGTGATGGAAAATGACCTTCTACTTAACCATTCTGCTGTATCATAAACCATTCTGCTGTATCATAAACCATTCTGCTGTATCATAAACCATTCTGCTGTATATACATGTATAGGAGGACTGGAGAAGCACATTACAATTTTTCTCTCTGATCTTTCACCATATTTCTCTTCATTGCTATGTGATATTTTGTGAAATGGTGTAAATTTGTTGGAATACATCCCTCCGGAAGACTTTGGAACAAAATGTGATACCATTTGGAGTGAAATCAGTGAGTTATATAAATATCAAAGATTCGATCTTCATATCATCCTAAACTGTACTGTACCATGTACTGATTTTGATGTGAGCCTGAGACTTCAATTTTATCTTGTCAGCAATTCGTGTAGTTCAGTTGGTGTAGTTCAGCGAACTCCAGTCTACAGATTTAGAGACAAAGTTCTTCATTCATCCTATTGTCCTGCCTCAATAGTAATAGTAAGACTCTCAAATCTACCTTAGATATACTCCCATTGTCCAGCATGATGGGCGAACCTCCTACTACAACAAGAGCCCGATCTACTTCGATGAAGGAGAACACTGTTCTCATAGAAGAGGTCATCAAAGACATAATGCACAACAAAAACTTTTTGTCACTTGTACAAGATTCCATTGACAAGAAGATCAGCCGCTTGCAGGAAACAATTGAAATACAACAAGCTGATATAATGGATCTGCAGACCAGAAATACCGCCAAGGATAAGGAAATAGATGACCTGAAAAAGAAGGTTAACGAGCATACTGATCGTCTAAAAGCAGTCAGTGTGAACATCAATGCACAGGAACAATATTCCCGCCGTAATTGCTTACGATTTTTTGGCTGCCCAGAGAGAAAGGGTGAAAGCACAGACAGCATTGTTATGAAAATGGTCAATGACATCCTCAAAGTCAACTTAACAGTCGATGACATCGAAAGAAGCCACAGAGTTGGTATGCCAGGTGAACCCCTTCCAGAGCCTGCTCCCGGCGCCATCGAAGACCCAACAGCACCTACCAAAACCTACCGCGGTATCATCGTGAAATTCAAGTCATACAGGAAGCGCCAGGAGATTATACTCAACCGACGAAAACTGAAAGGTCGCAAGCGAGCAATAGTAGAAGACTTGACTGCCAAAAATCAAAAGCTCCTAGCGATGGCAAAAGGACATCCCCATGTTAAAGCTGCTTGGAGCAATGACGGGAGAATAATTGCTCTACTGAGTGGTAAGGACCATAAGAAAAAACTCATCAGAAACGAGGATGACCTGAAATCTCTGCCAAATGAATAGTGAAATGTTAAATCTGAACTAAACAATCTTCTGGAGGGAAAAACTTCCCTTTTTATCGTTCGATAACAAACTTTGACAAAGTGAACGCTTATTTTTTTTGGTACTATTTGTATATAATTCTGTTTTACATATATTTATATATATATATTCATTGCTTGGAATTTTCAATCAATGTAGTATTTGTTTATGCTTAACTGTTTTGTTAAGTTGTTTTTGTATTTCCGTATAATAAATTTGACTTTTATGACTATAATGAAAGAATATAAATATATCAATTCTTCCCACATTCGTTCTTTTGCATGTTGCATGTATTTTTACATGTATTTCCATCTATGCTTCAGGTGCGGAATAGTTTGTAATACTTATTTTTGTAGAGTTGCGCTCTCTTCTTTTTTCTTTATTGCTACGATCAAAATGTGTAATCTTATAAGTAAGAATGAACTTTCGTATGAACAACCCACTTAACGATCTTGATCCTGATCTGCATGTCAATAACCCAGATTTTGCTTGTAACAGCTACACCCCTTTTGAATTTAATGAACATTTCCAGTCTTGTGCCGAATTCAGCATGATTCACTTAAATGCCAGAAGCCTTCATACAAATTTTGAGAACATTTCTAATTTTCTATCTATCATAAAGAACAGTTTTTCAGTTATAGCTATATCAGAAACATGGATATGTGGTTTACCAGTAATTCCATTTCATTTAGATGGATACAAGTTTGTCAACGTTGATAGAAAATCTGGTAGAGGCGGAGGTGTTGGTATTTTCATTAAAAATGACATTAATTTTCAAAGAAGAGAATCAATTACACACTCCGTAGAAAGTGATTCCACTTGTGAATATTTATGTGTAGATTTGTTTAGACAAGATAGAGATAGGCTGACGGTTGGTGTTTTTTATCGAAAGCCTAGCACAGATATTAAATCATTCATACATTTTTATTCTGAAACGCTTGAAAAACTTAGCACTGAAAAAAGAGAAATTATTATGACAGGTGATTTTAATATAGACTTACTGAAATCAACTGATGAAAATACAAACGATTTCCTAAACATTAATTTTTCATTTGGTCTTACTCCTGTCATCAAATATCCAATTCGTATTACTATGAATACTGCATCTCTCATTGATAACATTTTTATTAATACATTCGAAAGAAATCTGGAAAGTGGCAGTTTTTCTGTTGAGTTAACAGACCATTTACCTATTTTTCTTGTGTTGGATAAAACTAATTTGCTGACAAAGAGTCAGCATACTACAATTAATTTCAGACGTGCAGTAACAGATGATGGTGTAAAGAAATTACAAAGAGAACTGTACGAAGTGGATTGGTCTTCATTGTATTCGTGCAATAATGTTAATACTGCTTATGACTTGTTTTTAAGTAAGCTTTTAGTTTTATATGACAGAAATCTACCTCTATGTACTAGTAACAATAAGAAATCATGTATACATAAACCTTGGATAACACCAGGACTTTTACGATATATCAAGAAAAAAAATAAGTTGTATAAGAAATTTCTTAATGATCGCTCACCCTCAAATCAAGCAAAGTATAAAACATATAGGAATAAAGTTAATAATATATTACATAAAGTGAAAAGGAAATATTTTTGTGATAAATTGAATCGAACCAAGCATGATATCAAGGGTACTTGGTCCGTCATAAACAAACTACTTTGTAAATCCAAACGTAATCCACCTCAGTATATTTTATGCAACGACAAAAGAATAGATGACTCACAATGTATAGCTAATGAATTCAATTCATATTTTATTAATTGCTGCACAAATATTTTAACTTCTTCTCAGGTTGTTGCACGAAATGATACATTTGAAGGATATTTAAATGATCCACTCTCGAAATCGTTATTTTTAAAGCCTATTACTGAATCTGAAATTCTTGAAATTACTAAATCGCTGAAGAAAAGTAACTCCTGTGGTTTTGACGGCATCAACAGTAATATTGTAAAAAAGATTATATACTCGATTGTAAAGCCTTTATGTTATATATTCAATTTATCTATAAGTACAGGTAATGTACCAGACAAACTTAAAATTGCTAAAATTGTACCAGTTTATAAGAAAAATGACTCTCATCTCTGCAAAAACTATAGACCTATTTCAATATTGCCATGCTTCTCAAAGATACTGGAAAAATGTATGTATAAACGTTTGTATTCATTCTTAATAGCTAACAGCATCTTAACAGACAGTCAATATGGATTTAGAAGTAACCACTCGACTTGTCATGCTCTTATAGATTTACAGGATAAAATTGTATCTTCAGTAAAAAATAACGATTTTGGAATAGGAGTATTTATAGATCTCTCAAAGGCGTTTGATATAGTTAATCACGATATTCTATTATGTAAACTACAGCATTATGGTGTACATGGCCTCCCACTCATATGGTTTAAAAACTATCTATGTAGTCGTTATCAATTTACCATATTCAATGATGCTTCTTCCACTCATAGTTTAATTAAACACGGGGTTCCACAAGGTTCTATATTAGGTCCCCTATTATTTCTCATATACGTTAACGATATTGAAAAATCATCTACCAAATTTGACTTTATTATGTATGCAGACGATACCACTTTGTTCTTTACTCAGCCGGATTTAAAAGATATGCAAGAGAATATTAATGTTGAACTACATAACATATCTAAATGGTTTAAGGCCAATAAATTAATACTTAATCTGACTAAAACTTGTTTTATATCTTTCCATAATAAGCTGTCCAATGCGACTAAAACCTGCAATGATCTTACATTAAGTATCGATTCTACACCAATAACTAAATCTAAATCTATTTGTTTTCTTGGAGTCAATATAGATGAAAATTTGAAGTGGGATTCACATATTAACTATTTAAGTACCAAAATATCTAAATGCATTGGTATTATGTATAAATTAAGAAGCTGTCTTCCTGGTTCAGCCTTATTCTCACTGTATAACGCCTTAATATTATCACATATCTTATATTGTATAACTGTCTGGGGAAATTGTAGTAAAACCAAATTAGATGTCATTTTCAAATTACAAAAGAGGGCAATACGAATATGTACTGGTAGTCATTATCTTACTCATTCGGCTCCCCTTTTCCATAAATTGAATACTTTGAACATTTTCCATTTATACCAATATCATACTATCCTACTTGGATATTTTTACTTCAAGAGTATCCTCCCCAAAAATATTGTTAAAATGTTCACTATAAATAAAGAAATTCATTCCCATGGCACACGAAACAGCAGCTTATTTCATTTATGGAAAGTCGGGAAAACCTTTGTACAACGGTCAGTTCGATATAGTTTCCCAACAATCTGGAACTCACTTCCCAATTATATTTGTTCATGCATCTCTCTCTCTCTTTCTTTCTTTAAAAGAAAATTGAAACAATATTTTATTTCAAAATATGCTTAGTTTGCAACTCTTTGATATTTGAAAACATCCACTTGAAAAAGGAAGTAATTTAGGTTTTTAGGTTGTTGTTGTTGTTGTTTTTTTTTTTTTTTTGGGGGGGGGGGGGGGATCGGGTAATTACTTGGATGCACTTTATATCTGTTGGCATCTACATGTAGGTATTTTGTATTTCATATTCTATGCATGTATATATTCATATCCATTGCTTGTTTCTTTTCCCTTTGTTGTACAAATTTGAAACTATTATTATGAAGCCTCCAAATCACTCTCTAGCAAATGGGGACTTTTTTTTCACAAGGCCAATCTGGCTTTATTTTAAAGTTCTCATAATTCATTTTCTTACAATGTAATAGGCCTACTTATAATATTTATTGCTTTTTTATTTCATGACTTGTAAATATGTATGTTTTTTGTCACGTACAACTGTCTGTACATTTTAGAAATGAATTGAATAAATGAACTGAACTGAACTTAATAGCAATGACAAAGCAAGGGAAAGAGTATTAAAAGTAATTTTGTTCTTATTTTAAATGGAAAGCTTAATTAGTATTAATACTGCTCTTCCTAATGACCCTGCAACTATCTTGAGTAATACTGGTCAATAACAATTAGAAAAGAATGCAAAGAAAACGGATAGTAGTATGACTGTTTAAATGCAGGAGCCTCATTAGTATTAATACTTTTCTTCCTGAGGATCCAGCAATTTTCTTGAGGAACATGACAACATACCTCTCCTCCTTTAGACGAGTCTGCGCCTGTTTTCCGGGAGATAACTTGTCTGAGGTCCTTGGTTGGCGGTTTAGCTGTCTTGGACGCAGCAGCCTGGATCAGCTGACTGGGAGGGGCTACTGATCTCTGAGGCCTAATAAACAAAACAAACAATCATTTAGATGTATAGATTACCGAAGTGCGAACGTCATATTTGCTCGTGGTCCAGTCTGCTGGTTCTTAAAGGTATCGCTTAACAATGTTATATCTGAGATGCATCGCCCTATGTGTTATCGGTGTCTGTGATATGGTGTAATATTGAAGCCCTAACAAAAATTGTACTTCAAAATGATCAAGAAGTGCCTCAAAAAAAGTAAATGACCGGTTTTACCATACTCATTTCCCCCAGTAGACTGTAGCGTTATAAAAACCATTAAGAAAACGTTTTTCAGATTTTGATTTCGATAAATATCTTGATAATCAGACAGGCGATCGGCTTGTAAAAGTCATGGGATTCCTGACTGACCTAAAGGTTTATAATTATGATTGCAGCACAAGCTAAATCCAGGATTTTGTTAGAATCTGAGGCAAAGATACCTAATCCCTTTAAAAACAGTGCCTGCCCATGAGGTTCACCATGAGATCATCAAAACAACGGGCAGGAGCTGTGTTTCGGGCTTGTGTGATCATCATGCCTTTGTTTATCACAAAAAAGTTTGGAACCAGCGACCTTTTCAACTTGGCCGGTATGACGTCACGCTTTGATTCTTTATGTTTATATCCTGATAATAATAATATTACTTGGATACATAGTGCATTTTCAAGAGGATACAAGGTGCTATCCCATACTCTAAGGACAAATTAAGAATTGTAAAGGTATGTCTTCAGTGTCTTCACTATGTCTTCACTAATGTGACTGCTGCTGATGCAACAATATTGACAACCAAAACTATTACGATGACAAGTATGATCGCTATGACTACTGATCATTATAAAGTTACGACAACTATGTCATCAATTCGCATAGAGCTATCAAAAATCACTTTGGAATGGTATACAGTATTACTAATCATTAAAAAAACCCAGGTGCTGTAATATAAACAAAAGACCTAATAGATAAAGAATTCATTATAATATACACTCAAACCTGTCTGTAGCGACCGCCCAAGGGAAACACAAAAAATGGTCTTTGTAGACAGGTTCCTTTAGTACATGTTTCAATGAGAAACCATTTTCAAGGGAAACAACAAATGTGCTTGTTGTAGACAGGTTGTCTTTGTAGACAGGTGGTCACTAAAGCAGGTTTGACTGTAGTAGAATGATAAGTGACAATCATGCTTACGGAGCTTGTTGTTGTGGTGACCGTTGTCTCACTGGTTGCCTAGAGACAGTGTTCTGGCGCCCTCTCTGGGCCTGTTGTTGAACTGGTCTTGGACCTCTGGATAAATTGGAAGGTCAAAGGTGATGATAGGTCATTATTGTACAAATAAAATTCCTTTTCTTCTTTTTCAATACCCTATAAACTTGAGTACATCCCCAAAGTTTTCAAAGCCTTATTACAATTCTGAGTTGCATCACCTTTCCTTACAACCTTTTCCGTATGGAGTTGCTTCTTTTCTGTTGATCAGTAAACAGTAAGTTTATCATCACCGATGTCTCACGAACAGCGATTCTGGAAATACATCATATCAACAGGTTTCAAGCAAAATGAACAATAAAGAAGTGTTGTGGACGAGTGGATAAGTTACCCGACTGCAGATCACAAGGTAAGGGGTTCAAGTCCCGCCACAGCACTAATGTCCTTTGGCAAGACGATAATCTACATTTGCTACTCTCCACCCAGGTGTAAATTGGTATCTAATAAGCTTAAGCTAGTTACTTTGGCAGCTCAGATACCCCAGGGTAATATGTGTAAAGCGCCATGAGCGTCAGAACCTGGCGGATACCGGCGCTATATAAATAACCATATTATTATTATTATTTTTATAATATATAGCCATACTTCCAAACCCTCATAACCTTTTGTCATTGCTAAGAAACGAGACTTCATTGCCTAGTAGGCAACAATTCCAATTTCAGAGATTTTTTTTGTTCAATAATTCCTGCACTTAGAAGGCTATTGTACTTATTCTGCTGAAGTCACCACTTGATTTTTTTCTTTTCAAAAATACAAAAAATGCCTTTGTGAAGCAGCAACTGTTACAAAGAAATTAATCTTAATAGTTGGAATTCAAATTGCATATATTCGTTGTTGCTTGGTAGGACAAATAGTATGGCTTGCCCTGCCTAACAACATGCAATACATGCATTATGCATTCTGACTATTGAAATACAATTATTTGTAACAGGTTCATATCAAGCACCTATGTATAAATTTGAATACATTACGAAAATGGCCTTTTAAATCATAGTGACTGCTGAAAGCCAGATGTTAAAGTTATTTAAAAAAATTTGGCTCTCAGCCGATGTTAAGGGTTTTCATATTGTTTGCCGATGATTCCTGAAGGACCTACCTCATTTGTTGTTGTGGATTCACAGGCCTAGGCTGCCTGAACCCTCCCTGGTCTGGGGTGCTGAACTGCCCCCTCGGCTGCTGATGCTGAGGCTCCTGCTGGTAGGGCTGCCTTGGAGGGGAATTGAACCTCTGTCCTTGGGGCTGGGGTGGTGGTTGTGACCCCTGGTACTGGTGGGATGGTTGGTGTGGTGGAGGGCCTTGATGCTAAAAGGAGACAGAGGGAGAGATGCATTATGGTCATACTGAACTTTGATTGTCCATTAGGATAATTTGTTAAAGGCGTCGTTTAACAATGTTAAATCTGAGATGCACGGCCCTACATGTTATCAGTGTCTGTGATATGGTGTTATATTGAAGCGCTAACAAAATTGCACTTCAAAATGATCAAGAACTGCCTCAAAAAAAAAGTAAAAATCTTTGAGTGACCAGTTTTTTTCATTTCCCCCAGTAGACTGTAGTGTTATAAAGACCATTAGAAAAACGTTTTTTCAGATTTCGATTTGCAATCATAAATACCTTGATAATCAGACATGCGATCAGCTTGTAAAAGTCATGGGGTTCCTGACCAACCTAAAGAGCTAAATCCAGGATTTTGTTTACGGATTTGAAACAAAGTTACCTGATCCCTTTAAAGTGCTAAGATATGATCTGAACACAAGTTAAGACTAGGCACATTCATGGGGCACTAGAGGGCGCTTCGCGAGCGTACGAAAATCTGAATGGCCTTGCTGTGGTGGGTCGGCAATAATCAGCCCAAAACTTGGATATGGGAGGGTGGAAGGATATATCTTTTTTATAATGTTATCCGGTCTTACCCCTAACCATCCTATGTTTAATCTATGTAGAAATAACATGCGAGTACGATAAGAGAAACATCGGGCCCATTACTGATGCAACTTTTTAAATATTAGCCTAGAAATGACCACCATTTCCGACAAATCTTCATAAAATCTGAGTTATAAACAACTCACAACTAGGCTCGGTAATGCAAATACGATTTTCTGAAAATTCAGGTGTGATTTTTTAAGTTTCTTTCAAGAATATTTCTGCGCATCGCAGCGCAAATTTTCTTCACTGCTTCAAAATCACCCTTGAAATTTTTTTTTGCAACAAATTTGATACAGGGTCTGCGAGTGTTCCCCGTTCCTTGCATGTTGAAAGTTTGGTAATACAAAGTTTGCATTGACTCGCGCACGAAAAAATGGCTCGAAAACAAATGTCAAAACGAGAAATAAACAAGCTTTTGTATAGTTATAAGAGATCTACCGAGGTTTCTTTGTCGATATAATTTATTATATAGTCTCAATTAGAATTCAGAATTATCTCACTGAAACCGACGATGTTCTCGATCGTAGTTATTTTCACTTTGCCAGCAGACGTTCTAGCGTGGTTTTGGCAAAAAGCTAGCCCGCCACCTTCCCACCTCGAACCTTTCGAGTTCCGCTTAAATTGTGCGCTGCGGAGCTCCGAGGGTGCGTTGGTATCGCTGGCAAACTCTCGGGCGGCTAGCTCCCCACGACGGACCATTCGCGGTATGGCGAGAGTGTGTGTGTGAGATACGATTTTGGATTCGAGAACGCACGTACCACAACCGTGCGCGTCATTTTCAGCTGTCGAATGTCTACGACCAATTTTACATGTACGATTTTTAGTACAGATACTTGGTCAGTTTTCTTCTTATATCTTTGGTTTTACAACATTTAAAAATATAATTTCTTCAAATTCGCTCCTGACTCGGTTCAGACTAATTGTCTGATGTGTTTTCAAGTCAATTTCTTGAATATATTTTTTTGCATGAATTTGCCTATTAAGACATGTAACTTAGCCAAGTAATATTCATACCTGATGTTGATTTGGACCAGGGTGTGAAAACTGCTCATGTTGTTGATGACCTGGAGGACCACCTTGATGAGGTTGCTGCAAAAAAAAAAAAAAAAAATTTTTTAAAGATATAACTGTTGAGTGTCCTTTCTACTTGGCTGCTAGTAGTGAAGTGGCTTGGAAGTTCAAAGCAGTGACATTCTTCCTATAGTGGTAATGGTATGCTATTCAGGTATTCATCTATTGTCCTATTGTCACTGGCTGGTATGTACATTGCAGCTGGCATGTCTAGTATGTTGTTCTATATACATAACAATAACTTCTGTCTCTCTAAAATTTCTTTTTCCCCATATGGTAAAGTCCTTTTCTTACATTTGCATCACCCAAAGATTGGCTTACGCGTTTGCTGTGTGCAGATTGGTACGCCCATTAATGTTTTTTTCCACCAAGTTGGGTGTCAGTGAATTATGACCTTCTGCAATTGGAAACTGAGGACCCAGTCCCTTGAAGTCACAACCCTTCTCAACTTCCCCGTTCAAATCTTGCAAGTCTTTTGAGATTAAGATATCCTTATGGTTATTATGATTTTCAATGCAAATTGGAAAATAACGTAATTTTCTTCAAGGATATCTCTGATTGCCTGAAGAGATTTGATTTCAAACAAAGATGACACGTTTTGTACTTTCTTTGTAATATTGCGAGACAATTACAAGTATCATAATTCAAATAACTGTGGAGTTGCTTTATTCCTGTTGATCAGTTAATGATAAGTTCATCATCACTAAGTGAATCGTGAACAGCGATTCTTGTTGTACATCATATCAACAGGTTTGAAGCAATAACCACCACAGAGGATATTTATTGTCTTGCCACCATCTAGAGCTTTCTCTTTTTTCTGTTCCAATGTGTCCTCTTTTTCTTTTGGAGGTCTTGCCTTTGGTATTTGCCTTCTGATATTTTATCACCTTCAAAAGGATATCTGTACTCTCAAGAGCAGATATTTTACATTGGGTTAAGTCATTTCTTTACTTATTTACTAAGATTAAATTTGGTAAGTTACGAATAATGATCTTGTACTTTCTTCTTTGAAGGAATTTTTGAAGAGGCTGATTCATTCCTTGCCGTAAGCCGAAGATTGTTAAAGCTAAAGCTATGCTCTAAAAGGGGACAGGGCCTTACCTGTTGATGAAGAGGTGGGTGTGATGGGGGGAATTCCCTCCCCCTTGCTGCAGATGGTGGGGTACAGGTTCTACTTCTACTACTATGACTAGTACTTTTGCTGCTGCTGCTACTACTACTACTACATCTACAACAAAATATAAAAGGCTTACCTGTTGGTGTTGAGGTGCATGTGACGGGGGACCCCCTTGCTGCTGCTGGTGGGGTACAGGGGCACCTCCCCCATAGGGCTGGGGACCACCAGGGCTCTGACCGATGGGTTGATTAGAACTTGTGTACACCGGTCCTATGTGATCAAGAGAGAATATGGGTTACCCTAAGATTGTACTTCAATTCATACTTTTGTGCTTCTTTAAAAAAACCTATATAGGCTTGTTTTTTTAACAGCTTTTTAAAGATAGGATCCTAGGAGCCAACAAAAAGTATTGATGAAATTTTTTGCACACACTTTGAAAAAATAAAGTTAAGGAAGACTTGAAAAATAATGTAGTCCTCTCCAATCTCCTGAAGAGATTTGATTTCACACAAAGGTAATATGTGTTGTACTTTCTTTGTTATATTGCAAGACAATTACAAGTATCATATTTCAAATAACTGTAGAGTTGCTTTATTCCTGTTGATCAGTTAATGATAAGTTCATCATCACTAAGTGAATCATGAACAGCGATTCTTGTGATACATCATATCAACAGGTTTGAAGCAATAACTACCATTGAGGATTAGAGGATATTTACTGTCTTGCCACTATCTTAAGCTTTTCTTTATTCTTTTGGAGGTCTTGTCTTTTGGTAGACGTTGGAGGCCATTTCGATTTTGAATGATTGAATGACAGTGCGCCGCCCACTCGCAAGGCCTCTCGCAGACCCGCAAGTGCGAAACCAATCCACTGTGGCTTTATAACGGGTCAGTTGAGCGAAAAATATGATTATTGTTCTTTTTATATTCAATCATTGTCATTATTATTACTGTTATCATTATTATCATTATTATTGTTGTTATCATATCATATGGACATCCATTTTCCCCTCTTTGGCACAGACAAACAGCAAGTCATTTACAACATACTAACAGTAATTTATTTCAAGGAATCGCCCTTTGAAGGAACAGAATATCATTCTCATTATTGATTTGATCTTGTACCTTGTTGTTGAGGCTGGTTTGACCATGATGATTCTTGATGGGGTTGTTGATGACCCCACCCTGGCGATGATGAACGAGGGGGCACACTGCTGACTGTGACTTGATGCTGCTGTTGGGGCGGGGTGCTGGACCATGATTGGGACGTCTGCTGCTGCTGCTGTTGCTACAGTATCAATCACATAAAAAACAATGACCAATGAACTGTCGCACCCAATGTTTACTAAATTCCTTCTTTCTTTTCCCTATCCGCAAATACAATCAAAATGCTACCTGAATTTTACAATCTTCTTTATTTTTGTCATTTTATGTAGTAACCCTTCCGGGTCATCCCGCTTACTCAAATACTTAAAATAATTCACTTATTTTGTTTATAATAACGTAAGAAAACTACTGTGTAACAATATTCTGAAAAATTTCTATGTCATGGTATATGTTATAGATAATGTATGTAAAGTTATTTTGATTCTTTGTATGTTTGTAAAATGTGAGCAAAACAAATTTCCAATATTGGACAATAAATTGAAATTGGAATTTAAATTCAAATGAAAGACAAGGGATAAGGATGCCTCAATTATCCTTTGGAAATTGAAAATAAGTATTAAGGCTAATCATTAGCCGAGGTCATAAATTATGAGTGAAACATGGCTTAAATGACTCTGTGTTGTTTATCATACAGCACATGGTTGTTTGGACTGGCAGAAATGCCATCACTTAAAAAGTATTATTTATCAAGGTGTCAATCAGGGTTGGATTGAACCATCATGATAGTGTCAGACGGCAATTCCTAGGTCATCTTAATGGATACCTGTACAAAGGAATTCCCTGAATGATGCGAGCACCGAAGACAGTAGCCTAGCAAAGCCGTAGTAATATGGAAGCGCCTTGAGCAACTTGCATGGTGGATATGTGCGCTATAAAAATATCCAATATTATTATCATTATCATTGCAATAACCTGCTTTGTATTTTTTCTGCCTACTTTTCATGTCTATCATGTTTGTTTTAGTTCTTGGTAGTCATGTTTCTTATCTTGCGACAGAGAATCTTTTCATGTTTTCATCTTTTCATGTTTTGTTTGAATAGAAATATTCATACATACCCAACCAGACAATCAAATAAATACCATTTATGTAATCCTAAAACAACAATGGCTATGAAATCTATAAGACATTCTGGTCCGGATATTTGGAACTCACTGTCCGTTGACATCCGTAACTTGAAGTCAGTATATACTTTCAAGAAAAGTGTGAAATCAATTTTATTGAGCAAATATTGACAAATCTCTTAAATTAACACATGATATCATATATGTTTGTCAGCATTTCCTTGATATAGCAGGAAAATCCCCCTCCCATGCACCCTCTATCCCATTTTTTTTTTTTTTGGTTGCAAGTCACTGTTTATTTTTTGTTATTTTCCCCCAATTATGTTCTGTAATTTACTTTACTTTACAATCGTTATGATTTTAAATGTTTCTGGGCTGCAAGCGTATCAAGCTGTCACGCTTAGGCTGTAGCCCTTCTGTATCATCACCTCTTCGAGCGTATGTATCTATGATTTACTGAATGTGGAAATGTAATTTAACTTATGTTTTATACTCATGTAAAGACATTGTCACATTATTGTTATAACCTATGATGATTCAGTAACCAATAAATATTTCAACTATTTCAACTATACCTGATAAGGCTGCTGCTGCTGCTGTTGTGGCGGTCCTTGATGGGGTGCAACTTGGGGCGGTGGCACTGTAGCTGTAGCTATAGACAGGAATACATTAAATGGGAAGAGCACTTTACAAAAATGAATTGCAGCCATCTATCTTTAATAAACAAACTGATTTATCAATTATTGAATTATCAAATCACTGAACTCCACAAACATTTAACCTGACTAGCAGCAGGATATCAGGGCAGAGTTTCACGAAGGATATCAGGGCAGAGTTTCACGAAACTGTCATCTTAGTACAAGTTCGTCGACTTTTCACGCGTGTATCAAACATAACAAGCATTTGAATTGGATGTTGGTTAACTCTTAGGTTTAATGAAACGATGCTGAGATGAGTACTTTTCTGATAAAAGATATGTCACTAATATTTGACCCAATTATTTACTGCAGTAAGATGAATTTTTCAAACAATATCTGGGTCCTGTTTCATAAAATGCATTAATTCACTAACAAATTATAACAATTGATGTAAGCCGCTGAAAAGGCAAAATCCGATTGGCTGTGGGCAAATTTGTTATTGATAGCATTGTTTATGGAATTAGGCACTGAAAAAACATTGGTTGCTTACAAGTTTGTGGCTGGACTTTCGGTTTGAAGTGTGGGTTAATGTGGATCTTCTTTGGCATTGTCGTTGCTGTTTGAACTTGACTTGAGGGAGGTGGCTGGGACTGGGGTACCGGCTGCTGAAATGTTCTTTGCTGCTGTTGTTGTTGTGGCTGCGGAGGTTGTTGCAGTGGTTGAGGTTGTGCTTGTGGTTGTTGTGGAGGTACAGGTGATGGACCTCTATGCTGTTGGTGTGGTGGTCCATCAGGAAACAGAGGCTCTGGAGCGGGCGGTATCTGGTGCATTTGCGACTGATGTTGCTGGTGTGGCGGCATTTGCCTCATGTTGTTGTCCATATGGTGAGGTGGCCTAAAATCCCAATTGGGTCTGGGCCCCAAGATCCCTTGCCTAGGACCAAACGGGGGCCTCATCCGAGGGTCCCCCATGAAAGGCCCACCCCTGTGTTGGCCCATGAAGTTCGGACGAGGGGGTTGCATGTGTAGAGGGCGACCCATATGTTGGGGAAACCCCCTTGGACCGGGTGGGCCTTGAAAACCTCCCCTTCCCCTGCCCCTTCCACCCCTCCCTCGAAAGTTCCTTCCATATCTCTTGTTTTGCCTGTCTTCCTTCGTCTTTCTCTCAAACTCTTCAATTTGTTTCTTAGCCTCGTCGGATATTTCTGTAAAATTAAACAGGGAAAGACCACGCAAATAAGTTTTCAGGCTTTAGAATGTAATGTCATTGAATTGTTAAGTTGGTTATCAGTTTATAACCTTTGAGCTCCGACCTTGTGGTCCTATAATCTCACATTCCCGACATATTCCTACATAATATTCTATGGCAATGTGTAACAATAACTCATTCATTACCATCTATTTCTTCATCAAAATGGCACTTGCTCTTTGACCTTTGCTACAGTTGCCCCAGGCTTCAACTTGACAAAAAGACATGGCTAGGGGTCAACATTGTGACTCAGGTTTATGATAGGAAAAACGGTTGAAAGATCTTGTGTCAGGGTTAAACTTTCAAACCATGTCGGTCGTACAAGATCTAAATCTGATCATATCTTCTTTGTATTGCAATTTATACCCTCGTCACACAAAAGTGAAAGACATCACGCTGACAATCGCCAGAACAATGTTACATTTCTTGGAACGACCATACATCGGTTGGTTTGGAGAAAATACAGAGTCTGTCCGGTTTTTTGACTCGGGTGTAATACCCCAGTGTTCTCGTTAGCAAAGATTGCAACTCACCCAATGTATCAGGAATGTCTCTTGTTCTTGAGCTCTTGAGAGAAACTGTGACTGTCTGCCTCTCTGAACGGAACCTGCCACCCCTCCCATCCTCATCTTCTTTCTCCTCCTCACTCTCACTGGTTTCTGCTGTATCCTGTGTGTCGCCTTTGGTCTGCTGAAGATACGAAACACACATGCTATCAGTCACAAGTACTACCAGGTACATGTACAACCCAGTATAACCAATTAAAAAGTATATTTTGTTCACAGAAGTTCTTTCAGATTTTCCTCAATCTAAAGTGAAATTTGATGGGGACAAAGTCCTCCAATCAAATACAAAGTTACAAGTGCTTTCTCTTCTGCAGAGAGTTGCAATTAATAATTATAATAATAATAATATTGGATTCTTATATAGCGCACGTATCCACCTTGCAAGGTCCTCAAGGCGCTCCAACATTACCCGGCTATGCTAGGCTGCCGATTTCGACGCTCACAGCATTTCAAGGAATTCCTTCCTACCGGTACCCATTTAACACCTGGGTGGAGAGTGGCAAGTGTAGATCAATGTCTTGCCAAAGGACATTAGTGCCGCGGCGGGACTCGAACCACGGACCCTGTGATTCACAGTCCGACGACTTATCCACTACGCCACAACACCTCTACAAGTTGAATTGCGATTATATCCCAACTGTTTAAAAAGACACGGCATTGGTCTCCAAATAATACCTCTGGATCATTCTCTGTATCTTCTTCTTCATCTTCGTCTGGACCAGTCGTATCCACTGCATCCACTATCGATGTCTCCTCTTCTCTTGGAGGGCTAGGCTTTGGCTTTTCACTCTTCGGTGTCGTGAGGGGGGTTGAGGAGATAGGGGCTGTCATGCTGTGCTGCGAGGCAAAGGACTGGTTCTCGCTAGTCAAGTTGAGATCATCAACCAGGCTGTCATCTGGGACATCGATGTCGAGAACGTCACCTGTGTCATCGAAGAGCTCCAGGCCCTCTGATGCGTCAACTTGTTCATTAAGCCTAGGAGGATAATCAGGGTTGTAAAAAGAAATCAGATGTTTATAAGATATTTTGAGCGGGAAAACTGTCTCTAAATATTCGGAAAACCACCACCTTGTACCGAGGGAGAGATATGGGAAATCCTTCCTAACAAAGGTGTATCTACAAGGGTATCATAAATGTTTCAATGCATACTTTGAATCTTGTCTTTCTAAACTGTATGGACAGAATACATTTTGGGAAATTAAGATGGTTAACAAATGTATTTAGACTAATAAAAGTGCCTTTTCTGACAAGGCGGCCACATATTTAGTTCAAACTGTAACCGTATTTGCCGGCGATAAGGCCGCACCGCCTCATAGGCCGCACCCCCAACTTTGACATTTCGTAGAGAAAAAAAAAAAAAAGGAAAAAAAAAAAAAAAAACGGACCAAAGAAAATAATCGTAATTTTCTTGTACAACTCTATTTTTTCTACAAACTAATACCAAAATTATCAATCATTTTATAAATCTACAGGAAGTTTACCTAAAAAATGATCGTAATTTAGCAAATCTTCATCGATTTTTAGGCAGATTGGCACATTCATGGGACACTAGAGGGCGCTTCGCATTGCAGAAACCTGAATGGCCATCTTTAGTTTGCATGCAGTGAGTCGGCACTAATAATGTTATCCGGTCTTACCCCTATCGTACCGTCAAATGAAGAAAATAAACAAGCTTTTGTATTGTTATTAGAGATCTACCGAGGATAGTTTGTCGCTTTAATTAATTAGATAGTCTCAATTATAATTCAGAATTATCTTACTGAAAAGTTAAGAACACCGACGATTGCGCGCTGTGAATCTCCGAAGGTGCGTTGGATTTGTTGGCAACTCCCAGCCCCGTAGCTCCCCACCACAGAGTGTATAAGCGAGGTATGATTTTGGTTACTAACCCGTGCGCTGTCTAAGGACATTTTTACAAGTACAATTTTTAGTACAAGTTTATGGTCAGTTTTCTTCTTATTTCTTTGGTTGCACAACGATTAAAAAGATAACTTCTTCAAATTTGCTGCTGACATGGTTCATACTAGATCTAGATCTTGTCCGATGTGTTTTCAAGTCAATTTTGTTAATATATTTTTTTGTATGAAGTTGCCTACAAATAATGGATGTGCTGTTTTGACTTGCGATTTTTACTGTTTCGGCGTAAAGGCCGCACCCCAAATTTTTGATATTTTCTCTTCCAAAAATAATGCGGCCTTTACGGTAAATCAAAGAACCCTTTTCAGGAGTAAAAAAAACTTACAGATGACTAACTCTTGCTAGAAAGTTTGATTGAAACATTTGGTCAGTGACACAGCCATGTCTCATAAGTCTAAAGTGCTGATATTCCGTCAGAACATGTGTTAATGTTATAATAACATACTTTAATGGGATGTTTACAGTACTTTTGATTATTTTTGGATGCTACTCTGGGTCATGATCTGGTATCGGAAACTTACTCTTCATGTGTGCCTTCCTCTTCTTGCCATGTCTCTTCTCCACCTTCTCCCTCTTGCCAGTCCTCCTCTGCTCCTTCGTTCCATCCTTCCCCCTCTCCTCCTTCCACAAACTCCTCCCCCCCTTCTGCGTACTCTTCACCCTCTCCTCCTTCTACGTATTCTTCCTCTTCTGCATACTCTTCCACTTCTCCTTCCCCAAAAGTTTCACCTCCTGCATATTCCTCTGTGTATTCCTCTCCCCCTTCTCCAAACTCTTCACCGGTGTGTCCACCCGGTAAGCCCGCCCCTTCCTCTCCATACTCTTCCTCCTCGAGTCCAACTTCTTCTTCTTCAAGATTGTAACTCTGTTCATCTGTCAATCCTGTATCATTCAGGTTCTCCTCCCCATCGCTGTCTCCCAGAAGAGCATCTTCGTCCAGCTCCTCTTCGTCTTCTACAATGTCTTTGATCTGAAAGCATACAAAGGGGCAACATAAACATCCATGTAAATCTGTTCCATGGTCTAAACTATGTGCATAGTTGGATTAAATTTCAGAGGGAGGAAGGAACTACAATGGCTCCCTTATTGAGAACAGAAGGGTGAAAAGGATTTAAAAACAGTTAAAATCGTACTTGTATGAACAATTTAACACTTCAACAGTAGAAGCTGAAATCTCATCTTTTGTAACAATAGCTGTACTTGGCACTATGACACTCATCCAAACTCTCTTATTCTTTCTATTTTTCTTTTGCGCCTCGGAATAGAATTGTCTAGATAGACGGCACTATATATGTATGCCTATTATTATTATTGTCATTACACGAACAATGTCTGCCTGTTGATCAGTTATGGTTATTGTCACCAATGCCAATAGCAATCATGAACAGCGATTCTTGAAACATCATATCAACAGAGATAAAATACTTATTGCAATATTCAATACCATTTCTACAACCATTCCATGAGAGATTCGCCATTCCTGAAGAGAAAATGTTATGATTTACAAGAGCTCATGCCAGATAGCATATCACATAGAGACCTCACAGAGCCTCTTGTGTGTGGTTCCTTTCATACTTTTCTTGTACCTATCTACTGCCAAGTTACTGAATATTTACTGGCTTTGAATGTTACTAAGTTGTAGAGGCAGGCTACTTTAGCCAGTAAAGTCCACCAACTGATACATTAAACCACATCACAGCAATATGGTGTGTGGGCTTATGGTACTTGGAAAGCTGTTCTGTGATCTCCTGAATAGCTGGTCTATCCATAGAAAGTGAGCCAAACTGTTAGTGTTACCTTTTTGGTTGGGCTTTCTTCCTGTAGGAGTTCGTCATCCTTATCCAATGCCGCCTCCGCTGATCTGCGCTTTCTGGTAGTAGATTTGTCCGTCATATTTAATTCTTGTTCACATGTTTACTGTAGCTCCATTCACTGTAAGTCACTGTCCGATTAGGGGAAAGTAAATACACAAAACCATGTTTAAATAATTGTGAGCGATAAAACACAAAAACCCATATAAGGTCATTGCCATAGTTTCATGAAACTATCAACACACATTTCAAAGGAATGTTGGCGAAATTGTGTTTATCAACGACGCCTAGACTAGGTCAACACAAAAATGCTGATAGAAATAATAAATGCTTCAGTTCGACTCCTGAACATCAACACAATTCACACTCATGTCACTCTCAATTAAACTTGACCAATCATAAGCAGTAGGGGCGCTGGTTCGAGAATGAGGATCGTCCGCATAAACAAGGATTTTCTTTTACAAGGGGACAAAATAGCATCTTAAAATAGGATCTTCTTCTGCACTCTGCGGGTGTAGGGTTCACGATCTGCGTGCTGGCAATGCGAAAAACGGATTCCGCGTAACAATATACCCCCAGTAGGCACTTTAGGTGAAAATTAATTTGCCATGAAAACTGATTGAAATCAGGTTTGTCTGATAGAGCAATCCTTAAAAAGAAAGGAACACTTTGAATTTCTAGAATTGGTTGAGGGAAAGTCGAGATATGGCAAATTATGTACGTGAGTAATTGCCACTTATGCGGACAAAAGCATGTTACATAATCCTGTTGTTTCAACTTTTTTCAATGGCACCAGTTATAATACATGGCCTATGGAGAGACAATCTTGGCAGTTTATAAGAGTGAGAGTGAATGGGAAATTTTTAGTTTTCGTGCGATGTACTTGTTCTAACTAACCAATCTCACTTGTTAATATCTATAATTATTATTTTCAAAAGAAATATTATTATATTAATAATAATAATGAAAATATTAATTATAATTATGTGTAAAAATTAATTTGTATGTATTTATTGTATATATATTTTTTTTAAAAACTTTTTTTTTAAACTTTTTTTTTTTTAAATGCGCATCATTCACCACAAAAACAAACACAACACCAATCGCATGTTATAATTACACACAGTTCATCATGCCAAATCACATTGACAATAATTTGAATCTATTTTGTATTGATTTTTTTTTAATTGGGATTTTTCAATGCGCATCATGCACCATAGTAAACAAAACATCTCAAATTTTCATTGCACAGAGTTCAGGTTGCAAAATCACGTTGACAATCACTCCTCACAACATAATTGCAATGTAGGGTCATCTGACATTCAAGAAATTCAAACATAAACATGAAAATTGAGTAACAAAGCATTTCGTTTAATAGAAATATGTGATCCATGCTGATTTATGTTGCACATGATGTGCAATTTAAAAACAAAGTCATGTTCCAGGCAGCAACATTATCACAGGATATATAAAGAAACCTGTAAACCAGTGTGCTGTTTCTAAGAAATCATCAGTAGCATTTACATATCGCATACTAATGTACTATCAAATCATTTTTCTTCAGATCATTGAGCAGATCAAAGTCCCACTCTTCATCGTCCATCAGCCCACCTTCACCTTCATAACAAACTGAAAACTCTGTCTTCAAGGCATTGACGTGAGCCTTCTTTAGTTTGGTTACGATGCCCTTGTACCATTTAGCTTCAGTTTTGTTGTCATTCCAACATTTATGTTCTACGTTCTTCCCCACCAGTTGTTCAGGATGCTGGAGTAATTGGTCAAGGCGTTCCTTGGAGAGTTTGATGGCCTTTTTTCTTTTCTCGCCTTCCATCTTTTCGAACAGCTTCCCTTTGAGATCATGGAAGTTCGTGTTTCTCTCAGTTGGGTCTGTGAAAGTTCTTGAAGTTGTGGGTTTGTCTCTATTGGTCGACGAGTCCAGATTGTTAGCTTCCACAATTTCGATCAGATGAATTTGCATCTCTTCTTTGTTGAACACTTTCTTCCTCCCATCAACTGTGGTGGTCAGTTGGAACATCTCCCGCCTTGGGGCTTTGACCTGCAGAACTTTCTGGTAGAAATTTAGCTGCTGAAAAATGGCTCGCCGCACTGTCTCGTCATCCTCACCATCCATTTTTGCCAACTCTACTTCAATTTGCTCCTTGTTTTTCCACATACCTCCTTGTGTCATGACCCCTTCAACCAAGTTGGCTCGTTCTGACACCTGTCTCTGGTCCTTCTGTTGTTTCTTCTTTTGCTTTTCTTCCAGTAGCCGCCATTTCTCCTTCTTCAGATCTCTTGTTCTCTCCTTAAATTTCTTCATCATTGCTGGAGCCCGCGATCTTGCCTCTTCCAAAAGCTCAGCCTGTTTTCCCTGTGGTAGATTATGTAACCAAGTCGAGGTTTTATTGTTCGTCCACATAATCAGTGCCTCCAAGCTAGAAGTGCGGGCTGACGGCTTCTGTCGGACAAGCATGTCCAGGAGGGCGAAGTCCCGCTCCCCAATCATGTTAGTACTTGGAACATTGGAAAACGAGGTTTCGGTGGCTTTGTCAGGGTTCCAGAACTTTCCACCTGGCAAGTTGTCATGGCACTGTCGTTCTAGGATCTGTAGTATGGCGCATGAGATTAGTTCCAGGGCTTGAATGCACATGGCATGTTTTTCTGGGTCGCGTTCTTCCTCGAATAGGCGATCATGTAATTCATCATTAACAGCGGGAATGTTCGCGAATGCTGATAATCCAGCGAGCATTGGAGTGGCATCTTCCTTCCAAGTTGTTAATTTCAACTGGAGTTCGTGAAGAGTAGAGTTGAGACTGAGGATGTTTGGGGCTGTCTTGACTGCAGTCCAAAGAGGTTGAGTGACGATTTGGTGTGTAATTCCCAGCGCCTTGACTTCTGCTTCCACAATCCTGTCCTGTGAATCTTCTGCGACAGCTTGCAAAAGGTTGTTCGGGTCTGGAAGCATGGAGACAAAGCTGAAAATGTGAGGTATATGAAAGTAAGTTGCAGCTGCACCTTCAAACAATATGTTTGCCCTGTTGCCGATGTAGTCTACTAGCCGGTTTGGGGAGTCATACTGGTTGTCTAAGTAGGCAGTAAAGGAGTCTTCCACTCCTGACTTGTCGCACCCTCTATGGTGAAATGCCTTACTTGATGTTCGCACAAGGCGCCGCGCTCCAGACTCGGCTGTTTGGAGAACATGTGTGGACTTGCCTCCACCCGCGATATCCTCGTAGGCCTTCAACACTTTGTCCACCTCCTCTGCAAAATTTATGATGGGGTGCATTTTGCAGTAGAAGGTGGCAAATTGCTGGCAAGTAGATTTATCGTCTTCGGTTAGGCCGTCCCAGTTAGACACAACATGGGGAAGGAGCTCTTCTTTTAGAGTACGTATCTTTTCCGAAAATTGTGGCATCGTTGGTCCCTGATCGGTCATTGTTGACTTGATTGTTGTGATCATTCTATTTGTTATGTCTGAGGTAGTTGCTGGGTCGTCAGATGAAATGCTCTCTGCAAGTTCCTTCACCCTCTCCTGGAAACTCTCAAACACAGCTGATGTATCGCCTCCTGCCATCTCCGAGAGCCCCATGGTCCGTGAGGTGCCATCCGGTAGAGTTACCTGGAAGTTCTGGTACTTCCTGTGGAACTTTGTTGTGCCATCCCCATGGATGCAGTTGCCAACAGCATCCTCCGGACGACAAGCATTCATGGCGGTGACTACCTCAACATTAGCCAGGTGTCTTGCCTCTACAAGAATTCGCGACTTCGTGCCCATGGATGGCAGGCGGCTTACTTCTTTGCCAACCAGATTTCTCAGCACAGTCCGTATAACTGTATCTACCTTGCTGAGGGAAACGTTGCTGGACAAGAGTTCCATGATTGTCAGCCTGATGCTATTGCTGTATTTCCCATTCTCAAAAGTTTCTATTTCTGGATCCTCGACCAAGGCAATCAGCTGATGCAGCTCTTTGTTTTTTTCTTCAAGAAACTGGATCCTCTCTTCCAAAGCTGCTATGTCGTCCTGACCCTCCAGGTCTACATTCACTTTTAATGCTGACTGCCTCCGTTTTGAGCTCCACAATCTCTTGTAGGTGCTCCTTTTCTTTTTGGATGATTTCTCTAAACTGTCTTTCAGTTTGTCCAATGCCCTGGTTGTCTCTCTTAATTGTGAAGAGGTTGCATCTGTTTCCTCTTTTAGTTCTTGAACTGTAGACTGCATCTGGATAGCCTCTTTCTGCATTTTGTCTACAGTTGCATCTCTGCGCTTCAGTTTCTTGTTTAAATTACGAACATTAGAGCTTCCCTGCTGATCTTTGACCCTTAGTAGTTTCTGTTCCGTTTTCTCCAGATCCCTTCTTGTCTCTTGAAAGTGACGTTTATATGCTTCTAAAGCATCTTTTGTAGGGTCGAATGTGGCTGCTATGCGTTCAAGCTTGCAGATTGTCTCGTCATACTTAATCTGTAGTTCGTTCAGGTTCGCCTGCAGATCTTGATATTCTTGCCTGAAACAGGTCTCTTCTCTTCTTGCCTCCAATAGCTGTTCCTCTAGCGCTACCTTTTCTGAGATCACTGGAGCTACTGCAGACAGTTCAGACTCTCTCTCTTTTAACTTCCTCTTCACTCCCTTAGCTTCCTTCTTCAGAGATTTCAGATCTTCTCTCAGCTTCTTCTTCTTCGGAGTGTCCGGCGCTCTGAGCTTTCTACTTCTTACAACAAGAAATTCCTTATCGAAAAGCGTAGCTAAACTAGTTGCCAAGTGTTGTCCTTTCTTGTTTTTTTTAATGCGCTTGTATTCAGTTATTAGCGGGGATATGTACGATGATACAATGTGGCTATTCACCTCCGACTGTCCAGATATTTGTACTACTTTCTCAGCTACTTCTTTCTGCAAACATTTGAGGGTTTTTGTCATGTACATGAAAAGCTCAACAACGTGTCCATTCTTCATTTCTGCGATGGTAGGAATATGTGATGCTTGGAGTGATGTCTTATCAATGGCAGCTGCCGACAAATATGGACCTATACCTGAAGAAAAGGACAGCAAAGAACAAGAAGAAAAATCAAGGAATATTGCTTTAATACATATTTTTGGTTCGGTACTTTTGAGCATGAAAAACAAGTAATCATATCTTATATCCTACCCTTGATTTTGTCTTAATTATAGCAATCTTAGAAAAACACCAATTGCTTAAAATGAAGGGTATCATTCAATTTGAAGATAAAGTTTACGTTTGTAAAAAATAAAATAAAATAAAATATTTTCATTGTTTATATTACATGGGCAACTACATTTTAAAGACATGAAGGATGTATTAGCAAGTAAGAAAATACAAAAATAATAATGGAATAATCATTTCAAATTGATAATACTTACTCTTGAGGGCTTGCTGAGAAGAGACATCACTGTCTGGCTCGGCTGCTGGATGGGGAACAGGCTGTGGTGTTTCTTGAAGCAGTGAAGAGGAGCTGCCTCTGTCTGGAGTATCCACCTTGCTTTCCAAATCGCGGAGCTGATCCTCAATGTGCAAGCTGGGTTCAGAATCTGCAGGGGAAAAAAAAGAAAGAAAGTAACCTCCAGCATCATACTGCGTCCTCTGAATGTTTGGGATAAGGTTGGCAGTGTGCACCACTTACAACTGTGTTTAATAAAATAAGTAAATTGCAATTAATTTTGGTTCAAATAAAAGTCTCATCTGAAGTATGAATGTATTTAAGAGTACAGAAACTTATTGAGTTTAATATTTATTATTTACCTTTGCTTGTGCTTGGAAGATACGAAAGGTCTGTGTCAGTAGTGTCATGGTGGACTGGGGGCATTGTTTCAGCAGCATCTCTGTGGTGATCTGTGGCAGGTCTACTTTCAAGAGCAATGCTTCGCCCAGAATCTATTGGGAAATAATAAGAGGGAAATGTTAACAATTTATTTTAAAAATACGAAGCAGCTTTAATAGTTAAACTTTTAGTTCTTTATTAGCAACAATTTCGTGTTATCATTATTTACTGGGTGTGAATTTTTCAAAATGAATAAATTTTAATTGTCATAAATAGTATCATACCTCTTATTTCACTGGATTCACTGCTGCCTTCGCTTGTTGGACTTGGAGCAGGATGCACAACTGTGCCTGTGCCTGTGCTAGTCGATGGGCTGTCAATCCTGTCATCATGCTTCTCCATATTGAAGACTGAAGAACGCTCATTTTACCATTCATTTTCCATGGCCAGCATCGTTCTAAATTTGTATGAAAAAAAAAAAACAAAGATGAAAACATATATAACGTTTTTGTATCAATCGTAAGCTGAAAGGAACAACATAAAAGCTTGTAATTAACCATGTTAGAAGAGCGTGCTCATCACCCAAAAAACTAAGGAGTGTAAGTATGAAAATAATAAATGACTAGCTTACTGTATCGTCCATGATTGACTCAAATTAATTAAAATAATTAAATATCAGACCCAAAACTCATCCACAAAAACTCCCAAATCTACGATGAAGCTTAGCCTTAGTTTTTCCCATAATTAATTTATAGTTTAAGTCTTATTCTTTCAGAATTACCTCCACGCATACAATTATTACAATTAATGTGTGTATTAATCAAAGTAAGATTGACCTTTAAATTCCCAGATTTAAATAGATTTTCTTGAGAAGGGTAATCAAATTCAAAATACAGTGCTCTCCATTGCATTGAAACTGAAGGCAGAAGAAGTTGGTCAAAATTTGGGTCGATTGTTTACAGTTTAGTCTTTACCTTCAGACACATATTTTTAAAATGATTTTATAAGTAAGTATCATCAACATTCATTCTAATTAAAGTACATTTATACAAATATAAACGCACTTAATAATATAATTAAGAAAAGAATCGTCAAATTAATACCCTATTTTAAATGATGCATCACACACAAAAAAACAAATACGATACAAAACATCGTATAGGGTCTGCACTGCAGACTAACAACTCAAATTTTAGCCTGAAAGTCTAGTTCTCGTCATCAGACCTGAATTTTTGTATACGATTTATATTTAAAGTTTCATCAACATTCACTCTAAATCAAGTAAATTTGTATAAATATAAATTCATTTAATAATTTCTTAGGTAAAGAATCGCCAAATAAATATCATATTTCAAATGATTCATCGCACAAATTAAACGCAAAACATCGCGTAGGGTCTGCACCACACACTAACAACTCCTTCGCGCATAAGTTCGCACACCACTTCCATTTCGTAAAAACAACTCGCAATCGTATGAAAACATTGCTCTCAAAAATGAAAATACTCTCGCTTTTACTCATCAAAACAACTAGAAATTTTCCACAAACACGATCAAATATCAAAGTTTTCTACTCACCAAGTTTGCAGTGGATCGGAGAAGGGCTTCTGGTACGTTTCTGGGAGCAATCTCGAGATTGTGTCGTTACTTCTCAACCACATGTCCGATTTCGACGAAACAAAAACCCGATCTCCACCGGAATATACCGAATGAAGTTGACGTCATATTTTATGAATTGGACCAATCAGAAAAATCGTATCATAGCTCCAAGGCACTTCGGCATATTCAGGTGCTACCGAGAACGCCCGAATTATCTGACCGGCGCTCTGATGCTGGCGATTGCGATCGGATTTGCATGTGAGTGTATGGCACGGTCATTACAGATAGTGAGATACACACTTGTGTTTGAGCGATCGCGCTGCGAGTGAGAGTTGTCCAGGGGGTTTTGTGGGGTGACTGAAGTGCCTACCCCCAGTTCTCCGTCTACTTTTAATTGTGGGTTGTCCATCTTCCTGAGGATTTATCGTTCATAATGTAGTGGGAATTGCCCCCACCCCCATACAAGCCTCCTACCACAAGAGGGCGCCATTGGCTTTCTCACACGGGGACGACAAGCTCGTACAAGCTTCTGGCACAAGAGGGCGACATTGGCCTTCACGCAGTGAGAGCAGATTGAGAACTGACACAGACTGACTGGTACACGTTGAGATATACTCCGAGTAACTAGACCGGTAAGTGAACGTTCTTTGTCTCATTTGTAGCATTTAAGAATTGTAACTACGTAGCCTATGATCCATAGACCAGGGCTACTTCATTGGCGCTGCGAGCAAATTGCTTTCTTGCATTTGCGGTGATTTTTAAGACTTGTAATTTTTGCACAGCGAGCACGGCTGCCCTAAAGCATAGGTAAAACATATGCGGTCCGATGCGCTGGGCTAAGCTGCTCGCTGTGAATTTGATATAAATCAGTAGACTAGATTTTAGAGTGAATTTCGAATTTTCGTCTTGGGCAGGGCGGATTACTCCGTTTTGCTTATTTCGTAATTTTTGGTGTATAATTCTTTGTTATTTCGTGTGGGTGTTTCGAGCCGGGCTGTAATATTAGCCCGGTTTGGGACATTTTTGCTGTAATTTTTTTTGGTCGGTCGTCTGCTCTCGCAAGCTCCAAGTGTAGTTCCGTCACGGCTGTATGCGTGCCTGGACTTTTTCACTGGGGGTTTGAGGGCAGTGCGATTCGAGTGTGCGTGTTTGAATTTTCTGTAGCGAGTGTTTGAACTTTGTTTGTGGTGTGGGGTGTCTGATTAGGCATCTTTTTGTGTTGAGCGGTTGTTTTGTACGTGAGTTCGAGCCAGGCGGTAATATTAGCCCGGTTTGAAACATTTTTTGGGTACGTGTTACTTTGTTTGAGCGCGCAGGTTTTGGAGACTGCCGTTCGCGCCAAAAGCGTTTACCACGCACTGCAGTGTATTGGATTCGGCGGAGGGATATTTTTTAGTCCTTCTCCTCTCGATCGACGCCATTTTGTTTTTGGTTGTTGGCTGTTCGCCGACGGGACCTGGATCTCTTAAATCTAGGACCTAGACCTGCTTTTAGTAGTTGATAGCAGGAGGCTGTCTGTAGTTATTTAGGTGCGCGAGTGTATGGTTTTTGTGCGTGTTGTGTGTGGACCCACTCACTCGTTGTAGTGCGGGAGTCCTTTCAAAAAATAAAAAAAAAAAATAATAAAAAAAAAAAAAAAAAAAAATCGTGCGGTGTGATTATCCGTGTTGGAGTGATGTGAGTAAACAGCACCTAGTTAAGAATTCAGGGAATTTATTTTTCCGTCGGGTTATTTCCCCGACGTAACTTAGTTGTAATTTTAGTAGACTAGTCTAGGCCTAAGGCTTTTGCGATTATGGGGTCGCTATGACATATAGGGAGGCTAAGATCCCTATTAATAGGTGTTCTTTTGAAGAACTCCTCGCAGACGTGCCGGGGCTAGCTCCTGTGCAGGCCGGGATCATGTTGGGTCTCCGGACTGAACACGGGAATATTACCCCGGGATTATTTTGGGCGTCCCCAGGGCTAGTAGAGTCCAGGGGGCTGCTAGACAGGTTCGACTTTGCTCCTCGGGAGAGTACCTGGGGGGCAGAGGGGGTTCCCAATCAGAGTGTTTTTGTCACTTCGTCGGGGCAGCGTGCCCTGAGCACCAGCACCCCCTGCGGGGCCCAGGCCCAGGTGGGGGGACACCAATACCCCTATGATGTATATCCGTCTCCCTTGGTTAACCGAGGGGATGTATCGGGTAGGCCCCAGAGGGGCAGTCCCATCCCAGGGTATCAGAGGGGTCGGTTAGGCCAAGGGGCCCTCCCCTTTCCCGAAGGACCGATCCGTCGGGGTCCTGCTCCCAGGAGGGATAGAGTATCCTACCAGCCACTCCCCTTTTTTGATGGGCGCGGAAACTGGAGGGCTTTTCTCCATAAATTCACTGCGTTTGCGGACCAGCAGGAATGGGATGGGGCCCAGAGAGTGAATCAGCTAACCTGGTGTCTAGAGGGGAAAGCGGGAGATTATTTGAGCCTGACTCTGGAACAAGAGCCGGGTCTGAAGTATTTCCCGCTGGTCCGAAAATTGGCGCAGCGCTTCGATCACGGCGGGTTGACGGAATCTGCTCAACTCGAGTTTGCGTATGCCAGGCAGGGGCCAGAGGAATCCTTGCTTGAGTGGTCTGATCGGGTGTTCGGGTTAGCTCTCCGAGCATTCCCTGGGGTCCAGGGGTCCTATTCGCACCAGCAGGCGGTCCTCCGCCTGTGTCGAGGGTGTTTGAACCGGGAGGCGGGATGTCACGCGCTGGCTCAACATCCCGCCACCGTTGAAGAGGCAGTAGGGCATATACAGTGGCACCAGCATGTGCACCGAGCCATGTACCAGCGGGGGTGTCCTGTTAATTCGGTTGCCTTTGAGGATGCGGGGGAAATTGAAGTCCGCCAAGTGGATTTATCCCCCCAACCTCCTAGTCGACCTGAAGACGGACAACTCGCTGCAGTAGAACGCCGAATGGTGGAGCGCCAGGGCCGCCTAGAAGCCCGGGTAGCTAACATGGAGCCCAGGGTAGCTAACATAGAGCGGGATGTCCGGAAGATCCTAGATACCCTACAGTCAAGGCCGGCGGCTTCCCGGGAAAGAGCCAAGTCCCCGGGGGGTGACCGGTGTTATGCTTGCGGGGGGCACGGACACTTCCGGAACCAATGTCCCACAGCTCGTGGCGACAGAGGGAATGTGCGTGTTTCCTTTGTCAACTGCCCCGAAGTGGAAAGCCCCAGCGGGTCGGAGGAGGAGACCAGCCCCCGACCCGAAAGAGGCCAGCTAGTGACCGGGACGCCGGGAGGACGGGCAGTTATTCCCCAGGCAGCAGTTAAGCATGTGGGGGAGCCTGTTTCCGGTGAAACTGGGTTGAATGAAACCTCCACGAAACTTCCGATTCCTCCACGGGTGATCGGGTCGCTGGACCCGATGCCGGGTTCCACTTCGGATCCGGAGTCGGGGTCGGAGGGAAAAGCGGAGGTAGTGGTTTGCCGGCTGCATTCCAGTTCCTCTCTTAATATCCCTATAGTGATAGGGGGTTTCCCCCTTAGGGCAATAGTGGATACGGCGGCTGAGGTGACTATCGTCTCGGATCGGGTGCTTCAGCATCTGAAAACGCAGCCCAAAAGACTGCGGAAGGCCGTATTACATGCTCCAGGTAGGGATATAAGCATGAGGGGGTCAGTAGTGGGGCCGGTGAGCATTCTGTTGGGGGGACAAGAGTTCCCCAAGCAGTTGTATGTTGCACCCATTTCAGACGACATGTTGCTGGGAAGGGATTTTCTCCATAAACATAGGGCGGTGATTCACATGCATCATCCCAGGTTACTGCTAGGGGAAGTGGAAATTTCCATGCAGCATGGGGATAACCCCAGGCGGATGGGTGTAGCAAGGGTGTATGCCCGCAAGAGGGTAATCCTTCCTCCCAATGCCGTTAAGAGGGTGACTGGGGTTATCGACCAACGGATAGGGGATTTTGTGTTTGGACCACTGCTAAACCCTGTTCCTTACATGGGGCGGGGAAGAGTGCGGAGGTAAGAGAGTTGGTTGCCCGGACACGGGGTAACCGTCTCCAGGCTCTCCTAGAGCAGACTCGGGTTAACGCCCAAGCGCTCTATGGCCCGTTAGGTCGGGTGTGCACGGGAACTTCTGTTCCTGTAGCACTAAGTTTTCAGGGTGCGCTTGAAGGTGGGAACTATTGAGTTCCTATCTCCTTGTTTTTGCTACATTAGCTACGGGAACTTCTGTTCCTGTAGCGCTAAGTTTTCATGGTGCGTGTGAGGGTGGGAACTATTTAGTTCCTATCTCCTTGTTTTTGCTACATTAACAAAAACATATACCGTAGGTCGGGTGTGCACGGGAACTTCTGTTCCTGTAGCACTAGGGGTCCGTTAAATTTTCAAGGTATACTTGAGGTGGGGATTATTTAGTCCCTATCACCTTGTTTTTGCTACATTAGCAAGAACATATACCGTATGTTAGTAAGTTTTTTGGATTTTTAGTATTTTTTCCCTAAATGCCCGTTGGCATATGTTTTGGTTGTTCCAGGGGGGACTTTTTTCCAAATGGCCCGCTCCGTGCTATAGCGGAACTGACGCCTCCTTCCTGCGCCGGAGTGACCTAGGTGGGTTTCTGGTTCTCCAGTCACACTCCGAAAAACTTGAGTAATATACCTCTCGGGTAGGTAAGATGGCGTCGTAGCCTGGGAGGACAAGCGGATGGCTCCCCGCTATGGGGGCGTGGATTGTTTTGGGTAGGGAATCTCCCCCTGGCAATTGTAGTGTTAAGCATTAAGTATGTTGGTTTTTTAATGAATAAAACAAAAATATTTTCATGTTGTATTACCCCGTGTTTTGCTCGTTTGGGGTCAAGTTTGGCATGTTTAATACATGTTTTTAGATTAGGATGTTGTACGGCCACAAGGGAGGGTAAAGCATAAATTTTTTTTTTTTTTCCCCTCTATCCGGTTGTGGGTAAGATATTTCACTGGGTTTATTTCAATTGGTCCTGGGTTTTTTAAAACGGGGGGGAGTGTAGTGGGAATTGCCCCCACCCCCATACAAGCCTCCTACCACAAGAGGGCGCCATTGGCTTTCTCACACGGGGACGACAAGCTCGTACAAGCTTCTGGCACAAGAGGGCGACATTGGCCTTCACGCAGTGAGAGCAGATTGAGAACTGACACAGACTGACTGGTACACGTTGAGATATACTCCGAGTAACTAGACCGGTAAGTGAACGTTCTTTGTCTCATTTGTAGCATTTAAGAATTGTAACTACGTAGCCTATGATCCATAGACCAGGGCTACTTCAATAACGTGAAAGTCTCTGCACAAAGTCAATGTGAAATGCATCAAGGAGCATCATCGCGGATTCCGTTTTTCGCATCGCCAACGCGCGAATTGGAAATAAAAATTGTCCAGAAAATGCAGACAATCCTTCTTTTCAGGATGCGTCTGTCCGCGTTTACGAAGACGATCCTCGTTTATGTCGACGATCCTTATTCTTGGACCAGCGCGGCGCCCCCAACAAGAAGTCCAACACGTCCAAAATGAAGTATGATTGAGGCTTTATTGTGAAATAGGAAACCACCATTTACTGCACACAGTACATTTCGTTTTCATATCTAAACACGCATTGGTGACTGGTCTCTTCTTTTTGACTTCCCACTGCACTCCAACTTCCAACAAAGTTTTACAAACATGTGTGTGTGCGTGCAGACAAAGTGGTTTCTTTATCACATTTTACCCTGCATCACGACTAGACTAACAAATGAAAGGAGTTAAACAGAGGCTCCATAGTTATAGAGTCCTTTATTACTCCGCCTGCAGACAAAGACGAAGGCAAAAGCCACGCACATGCACCCGAACTGCGGCGGTCGACCTCGGCCATGCCACGCTCAGCTCAGCTCATGCCAATTCAGCCGACTCCACCCGAGGAAATTAGGAAAGAACGTGCACCTAGATTATTGCCCTTTTTTCCTCACAGGATGAGAAATCAGAAAATGTTCTATGATCTAAAGCATGTTTGTTTTTGTTATGTGAATAACTCACCATGTACAGCTGACTGAATTTCCATAAAAAGTGCAAATCTTTTCCAAAGTTCATGTCATCTTCACCTCTCGTTTTACTTGTTGTACGCCATGTCTGATTTCACTTTGTAAAATAAACGTAATCGAATCGTACCGATGAGGGCGCTCCCGAGGCGCTCTCGAAGTTGCAAAGTTGGTACAGTGTAATAAAAATGTGCTGTTTGTACAGGTTTGTGCGACATGTATTTCAAGTATCAATTTTAAAGTATCAAGTTTTATTTGTCTTCCAGAAAACACATGTGACAAAATATAATAGAGTATAATCATAACAGAACAATGTAGAATAGAGAAAGACGAGGAGACCTTGGTTGAAGCACAGCTTGTTAAAGGCACACTGTCCTACTTGTAGCTACTTGCTCCCTCTATATAGAAAACTTCCCAAATCGGTGCCTGTTGGTCCCCCATGATCCTCTTTTTCTTATGGTAAATGAGAGCTGAGTTAATGAGATAGCCACCTGTCACAGTGACCTCGATGGCTCACTGGGTGGTTTAATCCCTTCTTGCTGAAGTAGTAAAGCCCCCTCATATGATGTGACAAAGATAACTGATTCATGAATACAACAACAAATATGGAATATATAAAACTATTTATAAAATACTCTCAGAGAACAACTTTAAGAGGACACTTTTTTTTTTTTTTTTTTGGTCTCGAAATTTGAAAATTTGACATTTTGCTCCGTTGGGGGGGGGGGGGGGGGGGGGGTAAGGTCGCCTTTTTTTAGGTCAGCCATGGGAATATTTTTTTTTTTTTTTTTATTAAAAAACAAAAAAAAAAGAAAAAAAAAGGGGTTTTTAAATTTTTTTTTAGGGGGGTTTATACACATAAAAATACCAAAGGGGGGGGGGGGTTTAACCCCCCCCCCCAAAAAAAACACCCCCCTGCGTACGCGCCTGTATGTACAGATGAGAAAGAAGAAGAAAGAAGAGGGATAAAGGGGATTATGTCAAAGTCAAGAAATAACAATAAATAGATCGAAGGTAGAGTTAAATATGCTACAGTACACAAAAAATAAAGCTTGATAACACATTCATGTGTCATCGACATACTTGTGAAGTAAATAAGACTTAAGTCTACGTTTAAAAGCTGAGATACTTGAACTTCTTGAAGCATTTGTTATGGTAGTATCAAGTGAATTCCAGAACCTGGGGCCAGTGGACATTAGCGTATTCAAAGTGAAGGTTGTCCTTGCATATGGTGAATGGAGAGCAGAAGCCTGTCTAGTATTATAGCTGTGAATTTTGTTATTTCTTCTAAAGATTTGAGCAAGGGCATGAGGAAGGTCCCCAGAGTGAATGCTAAACATGAGCATTCCATTTCACACAAACATGTGTGAATGTTTGATTTATCAAAGGGAAATATCAAGTTCGGGCCCTACATCTACTAACTTAGTTACACCAGTCCAACGTTTGGTAAACCAGTTTTCCACCATCGCTTCCCAAATAACGACAAACGGGGGAGGGAGGGGGGGGGGGGGGATTCAATTTACCATTAAAATTAATCTAGTCAATGAGGTAGATAGTTGCTTAATTAGGTAGACATATAAATACAAACATCAACCATTATATAGACAGATGAATAGAGTGAGAAAAAAAATTGTATGTTGCACTATAGATTCACTGCCAAGCAACATTGTAGTTTGACGACGTCCCGTTGGAGAGTATTGCTTTCGCTAAATTTTTGGGCGTAAACAGCGTAATAGTCGACAATAAACTTTCCTGGAAGTACCACATTCTGTAAAACTATTTCTCGTAATATCGGTGTCATGAATAGATTAAAAACTCATCTCCCTTCAAATTCCTTACTTACGGTGTATTCCTCGCTGGTCTGTCTTACCATATCTAAATTATGGACTCCTGGTGTGGGGCAATACCCCGGCCCCCCACTCAGAGGTCGGAATGACCGCATGCGTGTTGCCAAAATGTCCGGTACTTTTCGTGCGACAAAGTCCGGCCCGAGAATTGTAAAAAAAGGGGTGTATTTGACTTTTCACCCGAAGATTTCTTTAAAAAGGGGGTGTTTTTCTTTTTTCTCTCATCTCTTTGGACTCCTGAGAAATTATTCCGAATTTAGGGGGATACATTGAGCATTTTTCCTGATTTAGGGGGGGGGGGGGTCTCCAAGGCAGGAAAAGCCCGCGAAAGGGGGGTTCGGAAATGTTGGCAGTCCTCAGATAGGGGGTGCTTTCAAAAAGAGGGTACGAGCATATGCGTACCCTAAATAACACTGAGTGGGGGGGGGGGGGGGGGGGCCGGGGGCAATACACACCTATAAATTTTGTTAAACAGAATCTTATTATTACAACAAAAAAAAGCTCCTTGTATCATTTGTCTTTCTTATTTTCGCTCTCATACGTATCCTCTTTTCTTTACAGGCCAGTTTATGTATTCTTATAATAACAACATGCTTCCTTTCGTTTTTGATGATAAAGTTAACCCTAAATCCTCTCATATAAGTACCCAACTCGACATTGTAATGATTTTCATTTACTTTGCTGAGAACCCTTCTAGCTCAAAACACGTTTATTTATACAGCCCCAAATTTTGGAACTCTATTCATATTGACATTCAACTTGCCCCCTCTCTGAGTTCATTTAAGAGGAAATTGGAATTGTTTCTTATACTTCCTTACAATACAAATTAATATCAGTGCATTGTCAAATCATTTCTTGCCTTCCTTTCCTTCCCGTCAATTCTTTTTTACGATCTGTATCTTACTAAGGTCACTATCGCTGCATTATGCACATCGTGCTCTCTCTCACTATCTCTCTCTCTCGATCTCTCTCTGTCTCTCTCTCTCTCTCTCTCCTTTCTTCTCTTCTCCACCTCTCCTCTCTTTTTCTTTACTCATCACATATGCAGCAACATTTTCGATTCTTCCATTTCTCTCTTTCCTTGCTTTATTTTCTGTTGTCTTATTTATTCTTTTTTAATTATTAATATTTATGTCTTATCTGCATTGTCTCTTTTGACCTTTCCAGTGCTCACTATCGTAACAAGTTGTCAAATTACTGATTTATAATTGTATTATTATTTTGCCACTTTTTGGTAATCTATGTATATATAGTATTTCAAGTCGATATAAAAAACATTATTTACATGTTACAAAAATGATGTTTGTCATTATTTTGAGGGATCCATGCACATTTTACAAGCTCTGCTTTCCAGTAGATCCCTCCATTTCCACAGGTTTATCTTTAAAAAAAAAATTAAAACCAATTATAATACTGGATAATTATGTATACTTTCTATTTCACAACTTTAAACCATGTAAAATGTAATATATTACTGAAAGATAAATTGTTTATCTGATTTCTTGTCATAATTACTGTTCTGTTGGAATTGAAAATAAATTTGAAACTATATATATATACATACATACATACATATATATATATATATATATATATATATATATATATATATATATATATATATATGAATATGTATATCGAGGCAGACAAGATAGACAGACGGACAGACAGAGAAAGAGAGAGAGAGAGAGCGAAAAGAGAAAAAAGGGGGAGGGATGGAGGTCCAGTTACAAAAGTTTATTGTTCATGTTTTATAAATGTTGTTTCTGTTTTTATAGGGCGTCGGAAATATGCCCATATATAAATCCCCTGCATTCTATACAGCAATTATTCTTGTACCTCTCCAGTATTAAGGTGCCTTAGAATTCAAGTCCAGTTACCGTATTTTGCTAAAGCCACACACTCACATAAATATAAAACATCCGCAAGTGAGAAACACAAAATTAATAAACTCTCATTAGAAAACTCTGAATTTGTTTTGGTCGGAAAGAAAATTATATTCTTGTCTTCGGCTTTTCATATTATAAATTTGTTAATGACCTTTTTCTAATGTAATTTTACTGAAAAAATCAGAAGCCTCACTTAAAAATGCCATTATAAAAATGTCCTTCGTTCTGCTACGATATAAGTGTTGAATATCAAATATAATTATTGGCCAACAGAGAATTTGAATGGAGGTTCGGGGCCGGGGGTGTCACACCAAATGCCCGCTATCAGTGGCGTAATGAGCAAAAACGTTTGGGGGGGGGGGGGGGGGGCTGACAAAAAAAAAAATCCGAATCACCCCCACTCTAACATGCAGTCCCTGCTGAACGTTTCTCGAAATGGGGTCTAGTGGCAAAGCCCGGCGGGGGTCAAGGGGCGGAGCCCCCAAGCTCAAGGGGTATGGGCATCAGTGGCGGATCCAGGAATTTCTTACCGGGGGGGGGGGCACAAAATGGCAAGGGTTGAAATGTAAAACGATGAAACGACAGAACGAGGCTTTAACGGCGAGGGAGTGGAGTGACCAAGCAGGGGGTGGGTCTGGGAGGGGGTTCTGGCCCCCTCCCAGAGAAAGAAGCGTTTGCAATTTTAGAACCAAATTAGACGCATTTTCAGGCACTTCCTGGCAGGGGCGTCGCTAGACCTTTTTTAGTTGGGGGGGGGGGGGTGTAGAGGCCACCGATTACCGACAAAACTAGCAACTAATTACCGACAAAATTAAATGTTCAATATCTACAAATAACCCTATAAACCCGGGGCCGAAGCTAATTTTTTTTTTCATATGGACTATTTATAGTAATTGCATATGCGCGAAATGGTCATTTTCCTCGAAGACATAAATATACGTATTATTTCTTCAATTTAGTCAGCATCATAGCTATATATTTTAATGCAGGCGCGGAGCTAGGATCTTATTTTAGGGAGGGGCGGTAGTGAGCAAGAGAATCACTTAAAAGCGCGCTCATTAGGGGATGTGGGTGATGGGTCTCCTGCGCGAAGCTTAGAAGCTTAGACGTTTCCTTTAATTATAAGGAAAAGAAGACGATTAATTGTACCGTTTTCGACTAGTAATCCTTGGCTGAATGAAGTTCTCCCATCCCCCACCCCCCTCTTTGACGTTTCATTAAATTATGAGAAAAAGCAGACGATTCGGTGTACTGTTCTCGACTCTTAATCCTTATCTGAATGAAGCTTCCCCCTCCCGCTCGAAGCGCGGAAGTTTTGACGTTTCATTAAAATTATTAGAGAAAGAAGACGATTCGTCGTACCGTTTTCGACTCTTAATAAGCCCT